TGTTCGTCTTCCACCCGTGTTAAAGAGCTGTCTTTGTAACTATCAAAATGCATATATCTTTGCTTTCACTTCAGTTATATTTATGACAAGGGATTTAAAATTTGCCTATATTTCTGCTTCTCTGATGACATTAAAAACTTTCGTTTATTACAGTATCTACATAAAATTAACATTTATCTTCATTAGGTTGTAGTTCTCATCAATAGGGAGAGCGTCGGTAAAAAAAAAATTGTTTAAATATAAATATCTTTCCTCTCTCAATAATATGCCCGAAACGCTATGCGTACTAGTGGCTTTAGGTATTGTATGTACTAGCTCTATCTATAAATCCAATATTATGTTTGTAAATCGACTATTTATGTACTTTCCTGAATAAAATGAACTTTACTTTACTAATATCTAATCTCTGTGACTAAAACGTAAGAACGACTTTATCTATGCCTTTTTGATAACATATACAATTATAAGCTTTATTAGTGAATCTCTATTAATTAAACAATATATCAGAGAGTGTGTAAGGTTCGGTGTTCCATGTGCGAAGAGACATGGGAGATTTTACATCAGTACAGTAAATGTTTTAAGTAGCGAACGCATACTAACGAATAACGATTAGTATAGACCAACACTATTGTTCTATGAAGTCGATTTAACTTCCAGACATGTATTTTTCAATAAGTCTTAAATATTTTCTGGCTAGTTATGTTAGATATTATTAGAAATACGTATTCTACTTGTTAATATAATAAACTAAATTTGCGATCATTTAAGGAGAGACGTGCGACGACTGGATCACTGTGTACAGAAGGTTGATATGCCAACAAACACTTTCCAGACAACAATATATCTTGGATAAGTCGCTCCACAACATTGACACCTGAACCGTTGACTTCCTATGAGGCCACATATTAAAATAAAAAAAAAAAAAAATAAAATGTTTATTTAGGTAAGGTACATACATACAATAAATTTTTACAAAGATTGGTTGACTTATAGGTAGAGCTAGTACATACAATGCCTAAAGCCACTATTACGCAAAGCGTTTCGGGCATGATAAACTTAAAACTAATATTTACTTATTTCATAATGGAAGTATATTATTTTATAGTAAATATATGTTTTCTCGTGTTCTGCATTAAGCACTAACATTATAGTGAATAAATATACCATATTTCTTCATTATTTAAGTAATGCTAGGAGGCTTTGAGTAGCTTTGGGTCATTAGGTGAACAGAATCTCCAATAGATGGGGCGAGAGTCGCGCTATCTCTCTCCCGAGCGAGAGTCGAAACTTATTTTAGAATTTATATATCTTTGTCCTCCAACAAGATATATTTCCTTTGGTGCACTCACAATAACGAGCATATCTCTGTCTTTCTGAAGGTATATAATATTTTAGGCTTTATAAGCGTATCTTTGTTAATTACACACAATATTGGCAAGTGCGTAGGCTTCTGCATTCCATGACCGACAAGCTACTGAATGCCACTATAAAAACGTATGTATCTTCACTTGAGCTTTATATATGTCTATGTTAAAGTATTTAAAATGAAGCTTATATTTCTATCTTTCTTGAGACATATAAAACATATGTGTTTATTAACGAATTTACGTGAAATAAGCATTGTTCCGAGAGAGAGTTGCTCTGTCGATCAGTCTGTGCGGGGTCGGAGCTCGGCGATTATTAAAACACATGTATCTTCATTAGAACTTTATATATATCTATGGTAAAGTATTTAAAATGAAGCTTATATTTCTATCTTTCTCAACACATATAAAAACATTTGCGTTTATTAACGAATTTACGTGAAATAAGCATTGTTCTGTGAGAGAGTTACTCCGTTGCTCGATCTGTGCGGGATCGGAGCTCGCCGATTAGAAAAATACACGTATCTTCGCTTTAAATACAAATATGCCCATGGTAAGGCATTTAAAATGAAGATTATGTTTCTATCTTTCTTGAGACGTATAAAAATCTTACGTTTATTAACGATTCTGCGTGAAATAAGCATTATTCTGAGATGAATATTGCGGATTTCCGGCTCTACGACCGATGAAAAATGCAACTTTTATACAACTACAAATATCTTTAGTTTTACTTTAAATTTTGTCCTGAAAGAGTTTTCATATATAGATCCAGTTTCTGCCGTTCTTCTGACATAAAAAGACCTTTGGTTTAATAAGTTATTAAGATGTTTTCAACAATATTACTAGGGCGTTCACCGATTCTAACATGGGCGACTCTTTTGGAAACGCAACACATGGGTTGACCTGATTGATATATGGGTCAGATTCCATTAAGGTTCGGAACATTTACATGGCAGCGGGCGGGTGCTTGGCCAAACTATAGTCACGCTGGTACTGTGGCAGAACAATAGGCTTGTCGCAAAAACTAATTATAATTATTTATTATTTACCTACCTGATTTACCTGAAGGCCACTCACCCTAGTGGTCTCGACGAGGACTGGAAGCCGACGGCTTGTCGAAGGTCCCCCCCCATTTGCCTAGATCTTTTCCAGGTATATTTTAAAACAACGGTTTTGGCAGTTACGGCTTCGGCGGGTAGGCGGTTCCATGGCTTATGGAGCATCTCCTGCTACCAGAAATCTTAGCCAAATATTCCCAGTTTGCTAACTGTAGGTAGTAACCGAGTGGTTGTAACTTATTCACCGCTGCCCACTGGATTGGGGGCGGTGTGCAGGACAAACATATCAATTGTGACACTAGCTCTCCACATATGTCAGTTGCTTAATTTAGAAACTGCACTTGTGGTCGATCTCGAACCCATTGATGGTGTGTATTGAATTTTGTAACTAGCTCATCAAGATTGTAACTTGCTTAGCTAAATGAACTGTGGGATTCAATCCCCCCCCCCCCGAGCCCTTTGTAACCCTTTCCACTACTGCCTACAAGATGGGTATAGGGTACATAATAACTGAACTAAACTAAATTGTTCTCTGTCCTACATTGTGGCTTGTTGAGCTTGAAACCGTTGCTCATAGTTTGCGTTACAAATTTACCTTAAGAAAATATCCGGATTAACATCCTCTAACTTGAGTTTAAGAATTAATTTTTTGTCTAAATGTTTTTCCCACATCTTGCCCGATATGCTGTGTATTAGTGGCTTTAGGCATAGTTTTTTTTAACAAGCTTAGGTATACACAGCAATGTGCTGCTACCCTATTCTAGATGAAAGATTACAGTGTAGATCAAAAACTAGCTATAAGTTCATCTAATATTCCCATTTCACAGGTTGGTTAGTCATAAATGAAATCAGGGGAGAAAATACCTGCCTCGATACAAAAACAAATCAACTCTGACTAAAAATCAGGAGAACATAAAATGTAAGACTGATCTATTAGCCTCCACTAGCAAAATCTGGGTACAGCACAAGAATATCTTCCAATATTCCTGAGTGTATGATGTAATTACAGAGCTCAGAGTACCTCATACCATTTGGTCTGAAGTCGCTTATTAAAAGGCAATCACAAATATAGTGTTGGAGAGTATATCCTAGTTCTTGTTCACATAGTTTACAATTGGAATGTTCACCATTGGGGAATTCATTGCCTGCAGCCACCTGCCATAGACTTCGAAATCCTAGCCTAATTCTGGCAAATCACAATACCACACTGTCTAGTGGATGTTTTATGCTGCCCGTACATATAATTCTCGGGTCTAAACATGTCATAGCTCTTTGTACTCATGCTTTTTGGCCTTTGGCCTTCTCGGTTTGGTGCCTTCTTTTGATAATTACTCATTCACTTTTTGGCCTTTGTGTCAGTGACTGTTCTTCTAGTCTTCCCTAATTTCCTGAAATATTGCAGCTTTTACAGCAAAGATGTACTAGCTCTCTCTAGAAATCCAACATTCTGTTTGTAACTCATCTTGTATGTACAGTATGTACTTTTACCTGAATAAACATTTATTTATTTATTATTTATATGTTATTATTGTTCAGTATTTTAAAAGTTTCATTGAGATCTGCCCTGTCATGCCTTGTTTGCAATGTTGTTTGCCCTGTGGCCTTCAAGCGTTCCTAATACAAGAGATGACTTAGATCTGGAATGACTTGTTGCCTGGTGTTGCACCTTCTCCAGAGCAGCTATGTCCTTCTGAAAATGAGGTCTCTATGCTTGGATACAGTAATCCAAATCGGGGCGCACCAGATATTTATATTGTTGAACCATTATTCTTTTTCTTATAGTCAAAAGTATGCTTGATTATCCCAAGAGTTTGGTTAGCTTTTCTGACTGCAATTACGATATAAACTGATGGCAATGATTTGATTACACTGGTGAAGTTGCATGTCTTAAAAACAAACATTAGAGGAGTGGGTAGCACAGGATACAGTGAGAGTTTGAAGCACAAGGCAGGAAACTACGAGAATAAAATTAGGTACTTTTTTATTTTACTTTTGAATAAAGCATAGGATGGATTCTTTTTTTATTCATTAGGGAGCGAGTTCACTAGGCATTTTTGCCTAGTGAACTAGGAATCAGGGTGAAAGAAACTTTGCCCATTGTTTCTTGCTGACGCCAGGAATCCAACCCCTTAATCCTTTGAAGCCTTTTCCTTGGACTCTGCTTTTCTATCCCGGGCGGTTGGCAAGGACATTGGCTCTGCACTGGAACCTACTGATGTGGTTTCCAGGGCTTGAGGGAGTTGGATATGGGCCTCTGGGTCCCATTTGACTCTACGTGATTCCTTGTTCCCTTCGAGGAGGGACTCTCGTTGCAGGAGTGTTTTATATCCTCCCTCTCTGTATGAGTATTATATGGGTGCAGCTCTCCTTCAAGGTTCGTTTCAATATGCCTCTGGGCCTGTTGGTTTTGTCCTTCTGGAGGTTTCCTCTTGGGGTCCCTGCTGTGGAGGCTCACATGGCCCTTTTTTATATACCTATATATAAAAAGCAAATTGGCAGATAACATATTAATCGAGACTGGTGAACAGCTCATACTGCATAACATTATTCCAAGAAAGGAATTCATATCTTGTATATATATAGTTGAGTAAGAACTTTATTAAGTAAAGTAAATAGAACATTTCTCTCATTATTTCTTACTATATAAATGCAGTGAAAGTAGGATGACTCAGCATGAACATAAGCAGCACTAGTTGAAACATATTCCAGTAAAAAAGTTAGTACCAAAGTGAATCAAGAATATGAGCACATTTTCTACAGGAACCATCACATATATCCTGTACATACAAAATAGATAGAATACCTTGTTTCACTTGTAAATATGAGTCATCAGACCTAATCATAATTTTTAAACATTCCAATTAGAATTTTAAAATATTCAAAAGATCATTATTAAATCTAGTTCTGAATATCTGCAGGACTATTTTTTTTTATCTGAGCACCACTTAATTATAATTTTCACATACCAACAAAAAAATTAAAATGCAGTTTCCCTCCCAATCAAAAGAGCAAGATAAAATTAATTACAGGATCTTAAAAATATCAAGACAAAAATGTAATGTCTCTCCTAATGTAATAAGAATGTGAGCCAAATGATGTGACTGATACAAAAATGTTGTTTGTCACCTCACTATTCTAATCTAGAGTAAAAAATATTTATATATTCATATTACAAATATAAATGTGTATTTCTACCAATTTATCTTTATTAATTTATTTAAGTCTTTCTTTTCAATGATCTTTTTTCAGGAGAGGGTATCATAGTGCCTGTTATTTTAAAGGATTCAACAATTTTTCTCCATTCTCTCTTAGTTAAAGTTATTAAACTCTGGTGGGAAACACCTTCAATACGAGGTGCAGAAATGCTTCTTGGCGCAATAACTGGGAGGCCATTTTCATCTGAAAACAGAACAAAACCTTACAAATTAAAGAAAATATATATATTTTTGCTAGAGAATTTCTCCAAATGTCATATTTGTTCGAGGTTGACTAAAAGAATAAAAAATAAATGTAGAATGAATTACACTTACGTACTGGGTATTATAAATTTACGCAACATTTCGAACCTACAAAGTTCATTCTCAAGTGAGGAGGCAGGAGAGAACAAACCATTCCCTTCTGTCTCCTCACTTGAGAATGAACTTTGTATTAATGTGAGCCACTTAACATTTGCCCAGTATAGCTGTGCTACTGCCTCACATCATAATACATACATAAGTACGCACGTACATATGTACGTATGTATGATGCCAAAGCACTAAGAGAGAAGCACACTCCCAGAACTGCAGGAAAACCCGTGAATGTCTGCCTCCAGCTGCGAACATCATAACTATCATTGTCTTTACTGATATTTGAGACTTGTACATAATTTTTATTATAGTCCGGATCATCTATGACACTATCATTGCAAAATAATTGCAGTTACTTATTTAATTCATGATTATTAAGTTTCTCATTTTTATCCTATTTCTTTTGAGGTGATGAGTCAAAAGAAATAAAAAGACTCAAAAGTGCCCACGTCTACCTGTACCGTCCCTGTACTGATATCCTCACCATTGTATGAATTCAGATATTCTGTACTGTAAAAAAAAAAACTTCATGATTCTACCAAAATAAAAAATAAAATAAAATACAGATCAAGTGAAGAAAACTGTAGACCTAAACCCACAAAACAAAATTCATGCTAAGCCCTACTTGCTAAATAGTATAAGAACAAAAAAAAAAAAAGTGAAAGATGTGGAGCTAAAGAAAGACTCTCAGGTGTCGTCACAGATGACACCCGACACAAAGAAAATGGGAATTATATCATTACACAGGAAAAGAAATGGTAAGAACAATTAAATTTAAAGATAGAGTACATACCCGCATCTATTATAGCACGTTGTTCTCTCAAAAGAAAACTTGTATGAAATAAATTTTCTGTTGTCAGGTTGAAGCAATGTGGATTTACAACAAAAGTGTAAAAACAGATAGGATATTTGTCATTCTTCTTGTAACAATTAACAAGCACGTTATATATCCGAGTTACTTCTTCTGTTTGTTTTTCTTCTCCAGTAGATGCAGTTAGTACCTAGTTAAAATAAGAAGGTTCTATCAATACTAATGGGATACATATTTTGTAGTGAAGAAATGAGCTTATGAATGTAAGATACAAAAAAACTAGCAATGAATGTAATGAAATGCCAATTTCTGGGTGAGCCCTGGAGGCTCCATGAAGCTATCATACTGAATAAGTGCCACACTTCTTAGTATCATCAATCCCGGTGTTCTTTTTGCCTACCAGAGACCACAAGCCAGAACCTGGTTCCCTCAGAGAGGGGCTGGGAGCAATGGCCTTTGAACACTTAACATTTAAAAGTTATCATCTTTGCCATCATCCAGGGAAGTCACCGGGAAAGGTAGGTGTATCAAAACAGACCACTGTATGGTTTAAAAACGAAACTGCAGCCCTCAAAATGTCAAAAGAACTCGCCCATCAATAAATCAAACAACCAAAACTTCATCAAACCAGCCCCCCCCCATAGTTAGCTCCACCTTCCCCCCCCCCCCCCACTGGGGAAAGGAGGGAGCTAGCCCGGGTCAGCCGGGCCGACTCCAGTCAATTCTAGAATGATGAAAACACTGCTGACCTGAGGGTGGTAGGGTGTCAGGGAGCCTCCAGGGCTCACCCAGAAACTGGTGTTTCATTACATTCAACAACTAGTTTACTGAGGGGAGCCCCATTGGCTTCCTGAAACTAACTACTAACAGATAAGGACAAAAAGGGGAACATACTAGAGAGGGAATAGCACCGCAGGTATCAAGTCGAAGGCGAGACTGATGGCCGCATAAACGCCCCAGGGCAACACAAGGCCACAGAGGACCAGGAAGTTAACAAGATATCTGGCAGTCAAGACCCTCATGCCTGAATATCGGCCAAAGACATATCACCAAAAACGGCTGACAAATCAGTGTACTTTTGAACATCATGATCACTACGGTAGACTGCAGGCTAGCTAGCTTTGAGGACACTGTGGACAACCAGCAAAACACGAGCCCTGGAACAGGGAATCAGGGAAACTGGATCAACCCACAATAAGTCCACCGAATGAGAATCGGTGGCTCAAAGGTAGCGGCGTAAAGCCACCATCGAACAAAGCACATGATGCAACTCAGGCCAAACCAACCAAACATTCACAATCAAAGGACCCCCTCTGCAAGCCTGCCATCTCATTCTTTGCCAGAAAAGAAGGAACAGGCTACAACCGAACAAAATGACCACCAGGACCAAAAGAACAAACCCCCCGGCACCGAACAAAAGGGGGAACAAAATCCCCCCATTCCTCAAAGGAACAAACAGGGTAGAAATAGATGGATGAATCAATATGAACAGGACACCCATAATGGGACACAGTGGAAGCTGAGCACCCAAAGGCAAGACATAAGAGACATTAGAAAAAACTTGTCCAATGGCAAGTAATTTTTTACTTTCATAGTAATGAAAGGGAATGCAGGAGACAGTGATGTGGTGGAGGCTGACACCTTACACAAGGACAAACAGAGATATATAGGAGCTCGAGAAGTTCAGGAATGTGTACACCAGAAGAATGATAGGTGAGAGGCAGGCCCAAACAGCCATATAGCAACTCCCGCAAGCACAATTAGAAGAGTTCAATGAGGTGCGTACAAACTTACCAAAACTACTGACGACACATCGGCAGTGATGAGGCAAGCACACACCAATTCACGAACCTCTCCCACCACCGGGGGATAGCGCTAATAAGCGGGAGTGCTGGTTGCATGAAGGGTTGCCACTTGGTTTCTTTCTAGGGGGAGTTATTTTGATCTTTTAGCACGTATTTTGCACAGGTTACCCAGACAGTGGTCTGTTTTGATTCGCCTACCTTTCTGGATCCTTCCCCAGTTGATGGCAACTGTGACATAATTTCAATGTAAAGGGCTCATAGGCCATTGGTCCCTGCGCCTCTCTGAGGGGGCCAGTTTCTGTCTCGTGGTCCCCGGTAGGCATAAAGACGCCTGTGACTGATGACCCCAAATTAATATAGAACATATCAGTTTGGATAGGTTTAGGGAGCCGACGGGGCTCCCCACAGAAAACTGTATGTATCATGGTTTGGCTGTAGTGGTGTGTAGAAGCTTCACAATAAGTGTGGTTGAGGGGGACAGGGGGCTGGGGGTGTTCAGTGTGGCAAATGATGCAAGGTGGCAGCAGCCAATGATGGCGTGTGTGTTTTGGTTGCATTTCTAGAAATCTTACATAATATTTTACTTCTAAATAAGTACACGATGAAGAATATACATAACTGAAGCAATCATCTTATGTTCGCTTCATTTGTTATGCTCGGGGAACGACGCCCGCCACTGCCCCCCGAATGAGAAGGCAGGAGGCAAACCAGGAGTCCCCCTAATATTTGACAATATTACTACTACTCTAGTAATACTCTATTTCCTATACTCTATCTACTCTATTTCCTGTTCATCTTGTCCTCTCCAATACTTTGGCGAAACTGGCCGTACACTGAATGACAGACTTAAAGAACACAAGAGAAGTGTTAAGTCTGCAGACACTAACAATGCTCTCTTCTGCCATGTGAGGGATTCTAATCATCCCATTGATTGGTTTTCCTCCAAAACAATCTTTCCTGCCTCTACTCTACACAGACGCCGTCTTGTAGAATCGGCTCTTATTAACAATGTACCCAACATGAACTTGAGTCCTGGCTTTGTTGCTGTGGACTCTTCCCTTTCACAGTATATACTCAAATGCTCTAATCTTTCTAACAAACGTGACTTAACATAAGCTTACCCCTTCCATTTATCTTTCTCTTTCCTTTTCTTTCTCTCTTCTCCATTTTTCTGTGCATTGTCTTCTCCTACGCTCCCTTGCTATCCTCTTCTTATTCCTATTACTATCTCGTTCGGTAGTTATAATAGGAGCTGCCTCGTATGGGCCAATAGGCCTTCTGCAGTTCTCATTATTACTACTATCCCCTACACCTTACTTTCCTCCTCAGCTCTCTCTTGCCTATTTATTGCCTGTCCCTACCTGTCCTCATCACAATCGACTTGAGAATGGTCCAGGACGGACCGAAACGTCGTCGTCCCTTCAACTTCTAGTGTGTGGTCTGGTCAACATACTTCAGCCACGTTATTGTGACTCATCGCCTGCATTCGCTTCATTTATTATTCTCATTTGCATACTTAAACGTTTATACCATTAACAATGAATTTCAGCATTATACTAGCTCTGTTTTCATCAAATTGAGGCACTTATATAACATTTCCATCAATTGAAAACCCACAAAGTCATCTGCTTTTGGTGACACATGTATACATATATTCAATTACCACCACAACTGTTTGCAACACCATTACGACAAATACCATCATCAATAAAAATCATAACGGTACTATTTTCATCAGATTTAGTAGCTGTTTACATCAAATTTGCTACACCTGACAACATAAATTAGTGTTCTCTCCATGATCACCAACACAGCTTGCACCATGAACATCAATATATCACCAGTAATATCACACCCACCATTAACACCATCACCCAGCATTCCATTAACACATTTTCATCAGAACCATATATTAAAGCTCCAAATATTGGCTACAATTGGCAACTCAAAGAATAACTGTCAGTAGCAATGTTTGATAGTAGTTGCCACTACACTCCTTCAATCTCACTTGCTGATAAACTGCCAGAACCATCTAGGAAAAGAATATGTAACCATATCCCAGTGGCGAAGTAGTAACGTACTTGCCTGGTGTTTCACGAGCGCATTGGTCTGGGATCATATCCTGGTTGGGGAGGATTTACTTGGTGCCAATCCTTAACTGTAGCAATGGGTACCTGGTTGCTATATGATTTGGTGGGTTGTATTCCGGGGAAAAATTTGGATTTTTTTACTTATGATTATGATTATGACTTATAAATGACTTGGACAATACAAAACTGACTCCAGGTGATCAGAAGACAGCAAATAAACATTATGATTATTTGCTAAATATGACAGGTCAGTGAGGTCTTATAACAAGTGGTTATGGTGATTGTAGTGTTTATGATGATTGTGTTTTTGTGGTTATTATGTGATGGTGGATATGGTAGTGGGTGTGGTCAGGGTTAATTTACTATTTTCTAGTTGAAAATTCAACTACAGTAGATGATATTATCAACGAAGATGATATTTTCTAGTTTACTATTTACTAGTTGAAAACTATTTTCAACAACTATTTTCAGGTATAAAAATGTCTCATTGCATCTGGTTACAATGAATTTCTCTCCTTTTTTAATAAAATACATTCAGAAAATTCAACATACACATTCAACACACATAAAGCAACTTCAACATACACATATAAAATTCAACAAACAAGCTTTACCTGCTTTGGTTTTATTTTTGGACCAGCTTCACTGTCTTTTTGTTGATTTCTAGCCCTAGGTGCTGGCTTTGGACGCTGCCATTCAAGGGCACCATAAAGAGGCTCTACACCAACGGTTCTTTTGTAGAGTGACGACACAGCTTTACCAAATCTGAAAATATGCACATGAAATAAGACTTATTCACAGCTGATAAGTCAATTACTGGGGAACAATTAATGTGTATATTGTGGTAGTTATGGTGTTTTATGTGGGTGGTTATAGTTATGGTGGTTCAAGTAGTAACTAGTAGTAGTTGCAATGATGGTATTATATGTTGTGATGGCAGTATTATGGTGTTAGTGGTTACAGTGTTAGTTATTGTTGCTTCATGGTGGTTGTGCTTATGGTTATAATATTGTTCAATACTGTGGTGGAGTTTGAGGGAGTGGTTTTGGGAGAGGGAGATGCTCGCTAGCAGGCTATACAGATATTACCTTAAAACAAGTCAATTTTACCTGAAGGCTGAGAAGAAATAGGGTTAATTAACCCTTGGGCTATGCACTTATTAATAGCTGACACACAAGAGAAAAAAAAACAGCATTGAATGTAATGAAATGCCATTTTCTGGGTGAGACCTGGAGGCTTCCCGGAGCTATCCTTAAAAGAATAGCTCTCCGGGCCCGGAGCTCTTCCTGGTGGGCAGGAATGCCATGCACTTTGATGCCAATAAGCTAATACTGTAGTTACATATCAGCCAGGATAGCTCTGGGGAGCCGAAGGGGCTCCTCCCAGAAACTGTGTGTGTGATAACATATGATGCTTGATCATACCAGAAGAGAGCAGTTTATGCAACTAGCCTGTATAATAAATGGGGATTCTTTTAGCAATTTTGGGGTTGTAATCTTGTTTTTAGCCATGCAGTAGTCTGTTTTGATTCGCCTACCTTTCTGGACACTTGCTCTAGGTGACAGCGAAGATGATAACCTTTAAATGTCAAGTGATTATAGGCCATCGCTCCCTGCACCTCTCTGAGAGGCCCAGGTTCTGGCTTGTGGTTCCCAGTAGGCAAATAGAACTCCACAAATGATAGTACTAAGTAGTATGGCACTGATCCATGAATGAGAGCTTCAGAGAGCTGATGGGGCTCCCCTTAGAAAAGTAGCATTGTTTGTATTGTGATGACAGGGCTGGTCTGTACAGCAGATCCGGAAGCAAAAAAACCAGCGTTGAATGTAATGAAACGCCATTTTCTGGGTGAGACCCGGAGGCTCCCCGGAGCCGTACCGGCTGATATGCTAATGTCAAACTTTGGCATCAGTCATGTGTATGGAGTTCTAGGGCCTACCGGGGACCACAGCCAGAACCTGGCCCCCTCAGAGAGGCAAGGGGGAGCAATGGCCTATAGAAACCCCCGTGTGGTAGGAAGCATTCTATGTCTGCCATCGACCGGGTCAAGCATCCAGAAAGGTAAGCATTCCAAAACAAACCCCTATTCTGGTGAAAATTGCTACCTAAAGCCGAACTAGTGGATAGAACTCTTCAACAGAAAACATGGAAACTAGTATGACGTCATATGTCACCGCGCCGCTGTCTGCGCAGCTCCCCCCTCCCCAGAAGGGGGAAGGGGGAGCCCCAGACCTCCCACGCCGGCTATCCACCCATCAGTTCTGAGGCTGGATGTCAAAACACGCGAAAAACCGCCGACCGGAGGGAGGGTTGCCGGGGAGCCTCCGGGTCTCACCCAGAAAATGGCGTTTCATTACATTCAACGCTGTTTTTTTGGGGGAAGCCCCGTCGGCTCCCGGAGCTAACTACCCACAGAGGAAGGTCAAAGGGACAGAACCGGGAGGTGGACACCACGCACCCCCCACGGAAGCGAGACAACCGGCAGCAAACGCCAACCCAAGGCGCCACAGCCCCGAAAAGTCCCGGGAACAACACGAGAACAACGAGCACCAAGGCCCCCGCACGAACACCAAAAATCCATGCCCGAAAGACCGCAAGGTCACGTCGCCCAGACGGCAGCGAGAGCAGCGAAGCCACGAACGCCACAGGCATGAGGGAAGAACACAGGCAGCTTAGCCGCAAGAACACGGCTGACCACTCGGGACACCATTACCCGCGAACCGGGAAGAACAGAACCGGATCAACGCAAAATGCGCTCCGGACCCAAACGCCGTGGCTCGCAAACAACAGCGGAGGGCCGCCACTGAACACAAACACGACACACCCCCGGCCCGACCAACGAAGCACCAACAAACCCTGGACCCCTCCAGAATGCAGCAGCCCCACCCCGCGAAGAAAAGAAGAAAAGATATATATATACATATATATATATATATATGCGAACAAGCCTGAATGGTCCCCAGGACAATATGCAACTGAAAACTCACACCCCAGAAGTGACTCGAACCCATACTCCCAGGAGCAACGCAACTGGTATGTACAAGACGCCTTAATCCACTTGACCATCACGACCGGACAAAATGAGGTGATAGCCGAAGCTATTTGAACCACCCCACCGCCGGCACTCGGATGGTAATCTTGGGCATAGCATTTTACCAAATCACCTCATTCTTTGGGGCACACGTGAGGAACACAAATGCGAACAAGCCTGAATGGTCCCCAGGACAATATGCAACTGAAAACTCACACCCCAGAAGTGACTCGAACCCATACTCCCAGGAGCAACGCAACTGGTATGTACAAGACGCCTTAATCCACTTGACCATCACGACCGGACAAAATGAGGTGATAGCCGAAGCTATTTGAACCACCCCACCGCCGGCACTCGGATGGTAATCTTGGGCATAGCATTTTACCAAATCACCTCATTCTTTGGGGCACACGTGAGGAACACAAATGCGAACAAGCCTGAATGGTCCCCAGGACAATATGCAACTGAAAACTCACACCCCAGAACACACCCCACACCACCGCCGGCACACCTTGTGCCGGCGGTGGGGTGGTTCAAATAGCTTCGGCTATCACCTCATTTTGTCCGGTCGTGATGGTCAAGTGGATTAAGGCGTCTTGTACATACCAGTTGCGTTGCTCCTGGGAGTATGGGTTCGAGTCACTTCTGGGGTGTGAGTTTTCAGTTGCATATTGTCCTGGGGACCATTCAGGCTTGTTCGCATTTGTGTTCCTCACGTGTGCCCCAAAGAATGAGGTGATTTGGTAAAATGCTATGCCCAAGATTACCATCCGAGTGCCGGCGGTGGGGTGGTTCAAATAGCTTCGGCTATCACCTCATTTTGTCCGGTCGTGATGGTCAAGTGGATTAAGGCGTCTTGTACATACCAGTTGCGTTGCTCCTGGGAGTATGGGTTCGAGTCACTTCTGGGGTGTGAGTTTTCAGTTGCATATTGTCCTGGGGACCATTCAGGCTTGTTCGCATTTGTGTTCCTCACGTGTGCCCCAAAGAATGAGGTGATTTGGTAAAATGCTATGCCCAAGATTACCATCCGAGTGCCGGCGGTGGGGTGGTTCAAATAGCTTCGGCTATCACCTCATTTTGTCCGGTCGTGATGGTCAAGTGGATTAAGGCGTCTTGTACATACCAGTTGCGTTGCTCCTGGGAGTATGGGTTCGAGTCACTTCTGGGGTGTGAGTTTTCAGTTATATATATATATATATATATATATATATATATATATATATATATATATATATATATATATATATATATATATATATATATATATATATATACAAGTTTGTGAAGGTACCACCTCTGGTGCCAATGTGGGGACCCATAGCCTCGGAGAAGAAAATAAAAAGTATTCAGAGGAGACCTTGTGGTTTCTCACTGAACACTAATATTATCTTCTCCTACCACCCCCATTCTTTTGTATGTACACATATATATTTGCTTTATTTGAACTTTGTTACAAAAAAGGAGTTACATATAGGTTACAAAGATGGTTATCATAGGTTGTCGAGTTCTTCCAGCTCCTCAGATGGCGGGCAGGAACCCTGGATGCAGTGCGCATTTCCCCTCTGTATCGCCACGCTGAGGCGCTGGAAAAGAAAGCTGGCAGCTCTAGGGTCCCTTGTTGTTTCAATGAGCCTAGAACCCAGTTCCTTAAAAAAACTGGTAGCACTTTTACCCCAGGCACCGAGTGTCTCAGAAGTAATGGGGACAAAATAAATATATATATATATATATATATATATATATATATATATATATATATATATATATATATATATATATATATATATATATATATGCAATTGACGATCACAAAACACTGATCATTTTATGCGGAAAATCCACAGAGAAATATGAAATGAGGTGAACGTTTCGGCTTTGTTAAAGCCTTTGTCAACACCAGACTGACTAAGGACTGACTATCTTCCCCCCTTCTCCTTAGTCAGCCTGGTGTTGACAAAGGCTTTAACAAAGCCGAAACGTTCACCTCATTTCATATTTCTCTGTGGATTTTCCGCATATATATATATATATATATATATATATATATATATATATATATATATATATATATATATATATATATATATATATATATATATATATATATATATATATGTCGTACCTAGTAGCCAGAACGCACTTCTCCGCCTACTTTGCAAGGCCCGATTTGCCTAATAAGCCAAGTTTTCCTGAATTAATTTATTTTCTCTAATTTTTTTCTTATGAAATGATAAAGCTACCCATTTCATTATGTATGAGGTCAATTTTTTTTTATTGGAGTTAAAATTAACGTAGATATATGACCGAACCTAACCAACCCTACCTAACCTAACCTAACCTATCTTTATAGGTTAGGTTAGGTTAGGTAGCCGAAAAAGTTAGGTTATGTTAGGTTAGGTAGGTTAGGTAGTCGAAAATACATTAATTCATGAAAACTTGGCTTATTAGGCAAATCGGGCCTTGCATAGTAGGCTGAGAAGTGCGTTCTGGCTACTAGGTACGACATATATATATATATATATATATATATATATATATATATATATATATATATATATATATATATATATATATATATTGGTGTATACTGGCAGCAGGTTTTCTTTCAAACATGTTTCATTGAATATGACCGTATATTCTGTATTTATTATTTTCTGGTTTAGGGCTTCTATCCCTCTAACTATTTTCTTAGCATCAGGGCTTAATTGAAATAGGAGTTCTCCAAAACTCATTTTCGTACTTTTAAGGTGAAGAAAAGAAGTGATTTACTATAGAGTGTATTACACTTATTTATATAATTTGCACGATGTTTCGAACCTCCATGGTTCATTCTCAAGTGAACAGATCTTACAATACTAGTTGATTTTATACCCGCACTGGGTCAGGTGATAATACAATGAAGGTGAAAACATGGGGGGATACATAAGGGATAAATGTGAGGTGAAACACAGAGGCTGCAGAAGGCTTATTGGCCCATACGAGGCATCTCCTATCTAAACAAAGATTAATCCAGTGTAATTGGCCTGTTATGTTGGACATTGTCTTCTGTGTTGGCATCAGGACAAGACAAGAACATATCGATGCCAACACAGAAGACAATGTCCAACATAACAGGCCAATTACACTGGATTAATCTTTGTTTAGATAGGAGATGCCTCGTATGGGCCAATAAGCCTTCTGCAGCCTCTGTGTTTCACCTCACATTTATCCCTTATGTATCCCCCCATGTTTTCACCTTCATTGTATTATCACCTGACCCAGTGCGGGTATAAAATCAACTAGTATTGTAAGATCTGTTCACTTGAGAATGAACCATGGAGGTTCGAAACGTCGTGCAAATTATATAAATAAGTGTAATACACTCTATAGTAAATCACTTCTTTTCTTCACCTTAAAAGTACGAAAATGAGTTTTGGAGAACTCCTATTTCAATAAGCCCTGATGCTAAGAAAATAGTTAGAGGGATAGAAGCCCTAAACCAGAAAATAATAAATACAGAATATGCGGTCATATTCAATGAAACATACATACATACATATATATATATATATATATATATATATATATATATATATAAATATATATATATATATATAAATATATATATATATATACTGTATATATATATATATATATATATATATATATATATATATATATATATATATATATATATATATATATATATATATATATATATATATATATATATATATATATATATTTTGGTAGCAGTCTTTCCTGTAGACATATATTATTAAATATGACCGAAAAAGTAAGATTAATAATTCTAACACGAATTTTCTCAATCTTTCGTACATTTCTTTTCACTGTTGGAGGTAAATCAAAAATCAATTCTCCAAAATTCATTTTTATTTCTAGTCTGACGCGACACGAGCGCATTTCGTAAAACTTATTACATTTTCAAAGACTTTAGTTTACAAATACACAACTGAATAGAACTTACGCATCTCCGATTTTATATCTACATTTGAGAGGTGGATGGGGTGAGGTGGCATTAATAGGGTATTAATTTCATCAACACAAGACAGAACAAGAGGTGGCATTAATAGGGTATTAATTTCATCAACACAAGACAGAACACGAAACAATGGGTATTGAATAGAAGTGATTGTAGAAAGCCTATTGGTCCATATTTCTTGATGCTTCTATATTGGAGCGGAGTCTTGAGGTGGGTAGAATATAGTTGTGCATTAATTGGCTGTTGATTGCTGGTGTTGACTTCTTGATGTGTAGTGCCTCGCAAACGTCAAGCCGCCTGCTATCGCTGTATCTATCGATGATTTCTGTGTTGTTTACTAGGATTTCTCTGGCGATGGTTTGGTTGTGGGAAGAGATTATATGTTCCTTAATGGAGCCCTGTTGCTTATGCATCGTTAAACGCCTAGAAAGAGATGTTGTTGTCTTGCCTATATACTGGGTTTTTTGGAGCTTACAGTCCCCAAGAGGGCATTTGAAGGCATAGACGACGACAGTCTCTTTTAAAGCGTTCTGTTTTGTGTCTGGAGAGTTTCTCATGAGTAGGCTGGCCGTTTTTCTGGTTTTATAGTAAATTGTCAGTTGTATCTTCTGATTTTTGTCTGTAGGGATAACGTTTCTATTAACAATACAGTATCTTTCAGGACCCTTTCCTCCGTTTTATGAGCTGTGGAAAAGAAGTTCCTGTAAAATAGTCTAATAGGGGGTATAGGTGTTGTGTTAGTTGTCTCTTCAGAGGTTGCATGGCGTTTCACTTTCCTTCTTATGATGTCTTCCACGAAACCATTGGAGAAGCCGTTGTTGACTAGGACCTGCCTTACCCTACAGAGTTCTTCGTCGACTTGCTTCCATTCTGAGCTGTGGCTGAGAGCACGGTCGACATATGCGTTAACAACACTCTTCTTGTACCTGTCTGGGCAGTCGCTGTTGGCATTTAGGCACATTCCTATGCTCGTTTCTTTAGTGTAGACTGCAGTGTGGAAACCTCCGCTCTTTTCCATGACTGTTACATCTAGAAAGGGCAGCTTCCCATCCTTTTCCATCTTGTAAGTGAAACGCAGCACGGAACTCTGCTCAAATGCCTCCTTCAGCTCCTGCAGATGTCTGACATCAGGTACCTGTGTAAAAATGTCGTCAACATACCTGCAGTATATGGCCGGTTTCAAGTTCATGTCGACTAAGACTTTTTGCTCGATGGTACCCATGTAGAAGTTTGCAAACAGGACACCTAGGGGAGAACCCATGGCGACCCCATCTACTTGCTTATACATGTGCCCATCCGGGCTCAAGAAGGGTGCCTTTTTAGTACAAGCTTGGAGTAGTTTCCTCAGAATATTTTCTGGTATGTCAAGAGGAGTACAGGCTGGATCACGATACACTCTGTCGGCTATCATCCCGATTGTCTCGTCGTCTCGATTGGACGACGAGATCGTCCAGAGATAAGGTGCCATCACTTTATTAATTGCCCAGTAAACTAATGCCTCAATAATTCCTACTTACAATATTCTTTATTTCATGAAAAAACTAACCTTTCCCAATCTGGCTGGTCAAGGTCACCAGACTCCTCCTCTTCATCTTGTGCCATGAAAAGAATCTGCAACAATATTTTTAATCAGAAACAAACTTTAAAAAAATAACTTCTAGGGTAAAATGCCATGTAAAATATTGTTCAGTGTATGTGATTGATAAATATGCACTGTATTAGAGATCAAAGGCTTAATACTAATGTTATGCCCTTCATTAGACAATCTACTTTCTTAATGAAACATATTTTTATAACTTCCAATAGAATAGTGGTTCCCAACATGTGGGTTGCAACCCCCTTTCAGGTTTTTTGAGTACAGTATTGCATTAGAAAACAGAGCTGTTCCCAAAAAGGATGGGAACTTTTACATTGGAATGATACAACTATGACTAACAATGAGTGTCTAACTCATTTCAGGAGGGGCCTCCAGACTTCCTGTGATCTCAGTAGAAATCAGGCTTTATGACTTATCAAGTCAGGGTGGTCTAGTGGTTAGTGTCAGTGGCTGGGACTATCTTGGTCGTGGGTTCGAGTCACCCTCAGAGCTCCAGTTGATTTTCTCACGAGTGTAAACTCATTTATATTTCTTCTAAATTGAGTGAGTAGTTCCCATCAACTTTTAGTACTGTATACAGTATACACAGTACAGTCTTCTAAAGCAGTGGTTCCCAACCTTATTTTGGGATAGGTTCTATATTTGGGAGATAGAACCTATCCCCCCCCCAAAAAAAAAAACTATTTTTCAATGCTCAAACGACCCCCTAAGGTGGCCACAACCCACCAGTTGGGACCCCCCTCTGTTATAGATCTTATCATAGTTAATGTACTTGTTCAACCAATTTGTTACACAGCTTACCCCCCATTGTTAATGGTCTCTAACCACTATTATTATTCAGGTTTACATCAAGGAATAGCACTGAATTACACACAGAAATCACAATAGTGTGATGCATCAAATCACAGCCCTTGTAGATTTGTTCAATAGAACTGAAACCCTTAGGGTTATTTTCTGCTTAAAATGATACAGTAGGTTAAATTTTAGTCATTATACAGTATATTTAAACAAATTTTGTTTTAAAGTGGTTATTAATACCTCTACATATCTGTTACTCTATATACTGTAGAATTTGTTATTTAACTAATATTTTCTCATCATTTGTTCAATTGATAACTGAAAAATGATAGGAGGGCATTCACTGCATTGGTGTTTAAATACCACTCCAGGGATTCCAACTGATGAATATTCCATGAATGCTTCACATAGGCAAACCTGGCCCATAAAGCAACAGCTGCCTGGAAAGAGATGATGAGATGGTGTGGCCAAGAGAGCTACAAATTGGTGTAGTGACATCAACATCAGCACCAAAATTTACTTTGGGAGCCACCTGTAAGCTGGGGCTGAGCTGCCTGGTACAGTAGTGGTAATCGGTACTAACGAGTTTCGAGCTTGTTTGAGTTAATCCCTTGTTCGGTGCAACTCCTTTTCTGTTGTTGTTTGGTGACGTTTCGAGGCTTCATTTTCTGTGAAAACCTCCAGGTGTTCGTTGGCTTTCTGGAAGCTTTTTCTAGTGAGGTGATGTATTGTCACCTGCTCTCTCTACCTCTGTGAAGGGTTCAGGTTCGGGCTCTGGTCCCCGGTAGGCCAAACAGAACTAACCGTGGCCGGTGTGATCTTTTAGTATGAAGCAATCTTAGGGAAGATAAGCTTCATGGAGCCACAAGGGGCTCCCTCCAAAAATATAAAACTCAATCTGAGACTCTTCTGCCACTCCCTACAAAATGGGAATGGAATCATTAATAAATTAAGTTGACCAATCCACACACTAGAAAATGAAGGGACGACGACATTTCGGTCCGTCCTGGACTATTCTCAAGTCGATTCTGGATTTATATTTTTTATTTTAGTTTACTTAATAAATTTAATAAATTAAACTAACTAAAGCTTCCACTCACTGTGTTAGGGCCTCTTGGAATCATGGCTATGTTAGTTTGAAGTAGATTGTGAACAGACTGTCAATGTATGTGTGTACTAATCCTGCGACTTAGCTAAGAAAGTTACAGCCTTGATAACCGAATTTTGGGGTTCAGTTCCTGAGCTTATTATGTGTCTCTGATATCTTTTCTACTACAACTTACAGGATGGGTATGTGGTACGTAACAAACTAGACTAAACATTAGCGTCATCGTGATTTATTATATAAACTAAACCTTATTTGCAATGATATTGCCACTGTGCCAAACAATATATTTTTCATTCTTAGGAGGCATGATGATGATGATGAATTTAAACTAAATATTCTTAATGGTCTTAAATGAACACCAATCATTATGATATTTACCATAGGTTTAATTTTAATACATTACTTAAATATTTTAAGAAAAATAATAATTAAATAATATTGTACAATAAACAAAAACACTAAAGCTTACCAATTTTTGAGCAAATTCTGTTGGCTTGAAGACACTTAAATTTGACTGAGCTGACTCAATATTCAATTTAGCTAATGTTCCACAAGTTTTTAAAAACTGTGCATCCATTGCTGCTTCTCTCGGCCGCTTGACTAAAAACAGAAAAGGACCAGCATTAAAATCTGTGCATATTTTACAGTATGTTTTGTACAATAATTTCCAGTACAATAGATGTCCAATTCTGACAATAAAAAATACAGGTTTATACATAATTAGACACAAAATATATATATATAATAATTTTTAGTGCATATAGTGTGTACTGGGTAATTTGAAAAAATAAATATTTGTTCACTTACATTTTAGTAGTACAGGCTGGTCTTAATAATACAGAGGCAGCAAAATTCAGTAAAGGTATGAATGTTATACCATCTGTTAAACTTCTTCAATCATACTGAGCTAGTCTTAAAGTCCTCAATGCACATAGTTAATGTCATTTTCTGGGCTATAGACTAACTGTTCACTACCAACAGCCAGCTCCAGGCTACAGTGCTGCATGAATAATTTAGTAAACGGCATAATCTAAATTATCATGCTTAGGAGTTTCAATGTTTAAATGTCACTTCTCTTTCCACCACTGTTCTTTATTTTATTCACAAATTATATGATCTGCTTCTCTGCTTTGCAAATTATGTGATCTGCTTAAGACAAGTGGCTATCTGCCACTTGTCTTAATAAGGAAAGATTCCAGAAGCAACTACTGCCTACTGCTGCCATGCTGGAATTTGTTACCTTCCCTGACATCTACTGAAACTCAGAGGAATTAGTGATCGGCGCTCGCATCATATAAATTGTCATCCACACTTCCGTGGAAATAAACATTTCATTCACCTCAATAGCCTACTTGAGGCTACTATAAGAAGCCTCAAGACTACTTATAGCCCAGTCGATAGAGCTTCTGCCTCACATGAGTGAGGTCCTTGGTTTGAATCTCCTCGAGTCCAGGTGAATGAAACTATTATCAATGTTGTGCTCTTCTGTCAGTTTCTTGTCTCCCCAGACACAATCAAGTTTCTCTAATAACTCTCTTCTTATCCATGATAAGGAAGTTTCTCACACTCCTGTCTGATGTACCCATACTACACATGACATGGCTTCAATTTGTAAAAAACCAGCGTTGAATGTAATGAAACGCCATTTTCTGGATGAGCCCCTGGGGCCTCCATGGCTAATGTGCGATACATTAGACCAGAGCTTTAGTCAATGGAGTTCTGCCTACCGGGGACCACGAGCCAGAACCTGGCCCCCTCAGAGAGACGCAGGAAGCAATGGCCCTGGAAAACCCCCATGTGGTTGGGGTCTACCATATCTGCCATCGACCGGGGTTAGGCACCCAGAAAAGTAGGCGTAACGAAATAGATCCCACAAAGTAATAAAAATGCAAATGGAAGCTGAACAGAGAGGTAGAACTCCCTCAATTCCCAAGTAAACATAACACCACTCCATTGCGTTGCTTGTCCGTGAAGTCCTCCCCCTCCCTCCCCCTCCTGGGAGGGGAAGGGGGAGCCCTGGACCCACCGCACTGGCTACCCAACCTCAGTTTGGAGGCTAAGCATAAAAGCAAAATGAAACCGCCGACCGGAGGGAGGGAGGGTACCAGGGAGCCTTCGGGGCTCGCCCAGAAAATGGCTTTTCATTACATTCAATGCTGGTTTTCTGTGGGGAGCCCCTACGGCTCCCTGGAGCTACATAACCAAGGATAAGTAAAAGAGAAACACACCCGGGAGGCAGCCACCACAGGCTCCTCAACTTGAAGGCAAGACAACTGGCTGCAACCTGCGACCCAAAGCAACTAACGAATGCCAAGGACCAGGAATGTGAACCAAATATCAGGTGGCCAAGACCTTTGTACGACCTACAAAAGTGATAACTATAATAATTGTATTATTGTACATATACAATTTGAGTAAATGTCGCTGAACGGCACACATCGTATATAGACAATTGACGGTGCTGCGCACGATTTAAATGTCCTGCTAGGCAAAGGGGCACCCATACGCTAGCCAGGGGCGATAGTAAACAGACGCCATCTTGGAAAAAATCCAGCATAGGCCGCCATTGTGGGGAAACCTCAGTTACCCAGCAGACACCATGCCCAGTGCATTACATTTCAGCGGCCGACTGCACTCAGCGCACCGCGCCACCCAGTCATTGACCAAGGAAGAAATTAATACTGAATTGTTCTAGGAGGGTGAGGAAACTGATATTGATGACTCAGACATATATCAAGAGCTCTCAGATGTGGATGAGACCGAAAGTGAGAGTGAACATGTGGTTGCCAGAAGGGTCAGGCCTATCCCCTCACCCGTGTCACCTCGCCCTCACTCCACACCAATTCGCACCTACCACACAGTTCATGTGGCAATGTGCAACATGATAATGTTTTGGGCGACAAATCTGTGGAAGGTAACTCATTTTCTGGTTTTAGTGATGTAGAATCAGAGAATAGTTTTACTATTCTCTACTATAAATAGAATATAGCGTGAAGTGAACATGTTGACCACCATTCACACTGGTACAATGGTGGACAGTGGCAAGGTGAACAAAACCACTAAACAAAAAATATATAAACCAGACTGTGTTATGGACTACAACATAAACATGCATTTGGTTTATAAATGTGATATGATGGTAGGGGCAGTCGAGTGTGTACGGAAAACAGTTAAGTGGACCAAGATGTTTTTCCACCTTGCTGATGTAACAATGCTGAACAGTTACAATATGTATCTTATGAAGACAGGTGGTAAATGGAATTTCAGTACGTTTTGTTTTACTGTTGTGACACATATACTAGATAAGTTTGGAAAACCAATTCCTAGCATACAAAGGCCCATTTAGAACCCATTATTGCACCATGTTCACGCACCCAGGCTAGCTTACAGGGAGGGCTTTAGGTACACGCACTACACAATTTATCACCAACTGGATAGCGTGCAATAGGCCAGTAGAGTGCATTGGGTTTAAGACCACACAAAAGAGACCACAGAAACGTAAATGGGTGCTAACATGGTAATTACCTAAGTGTAGTTACAGGATGAGAGCTACGCTTGTGGTGTCCCGTCTTCCCAGCACTCTTTGTCATATAACGCTCTGAAATTACTGACGGTTTTGGCCTCCACCACCTTCTCGCCTAACTTGTTCCAACCATCTACCACTCTGTTCACAAAAGAAAATTTTCTTATATTTTTCCGGCAGCTTTGTTTTGTTAGTTTAAATCTATGACCTCTTGTTCTTGAAGTTCCGGATCTCGGGAATTCTTCCCTATCAATTTTATCAATTCCTGTTACTATTTTGTACTTTGTGATCATATCGCCTCTTTTTCTTCTACTTCTAGTTTTTACATATTTAATGCCTCTAACCTCTAGTGTGCAGCGTGTGCTGTACCTTTGTGCCATGTCAATTGTTTCCAAAAGTATCACACTCTCCAGAACTTCTAAATGTCCAATAATGGTGCGAAAACTAATAAATGTTGAGTAAGTGAGTATATATTGAAAAAAATCAGAATACATTTTATATTGCCTATAAAATGAATTTTTTTTGTGTGCATACTTGACACTAATATGTGAGGGTGTATTGAATGTATTGAATTAATGTATGACAGTTGTATTATAATACAACATTAAGTGACAATATTGAACAATATCAGTGAAAAAATTGTGGTAAAATACGCCATAGACACTGAAAAATAATGCTGCAAAATTACATTTGTGGCAACTCTGGCTGCTTGAATGCCACGCGCGACGCCCCTGGGACACACCCCTCTTGAGCGATCACATTCCGTGTCATCATCGTCAAAGTTCTCGGCTCTTTACTTCACTGGTAAGTATAATTCATTTTTTTTCCCCCCGTGGTCAGGGAACACAAATGAACACTTTATAAGACGAAAACAAAATGTTGAATTTTATTTTTTGCGCCTGGTGGTATTGAAGGCTATTAAGGCAAGCACCTCCCGCTGGTTAAGCTTCTGAAAATGTGAGTGTGCTTACCTCTTGTAAAAGCTTCATTTGCAAGAAGCACCATTTGACGTACACTGTCAGTGTCAATCCCTGCTGACCCTGCACCATCTGCCTTTTCTTTAGCATTCTGAATTAGTTCACGATACTTGTCTCTTATTTGTCTGTTGCCTTCTTCCGACATATTTGCCGCCTGTGTGGGAATTAGAAAATATTAAATATTATACGGCACACAGTATAAGTACATTTTAATCACACAATTGAAGAAAATTAAAAGATAAATGCTGGCTAAATGCTTTTCTCAACAGCAACTGAGAGAATTATCATAACTCTAGTATACTGTATGTACCAGATTTGGACGAGATGTGGACCATCTACTCCCAACCAACCAACACAAACACATTGGATTGCTCTATTCTGCAAGATACTGTACTATCAATATTAACAAGGTGCCCGAGAGTCAACCTTAACCTCCAACATGTGGCTATTGTCAGATAATCATACCCATCAATGAGCATAAAATGGAAAAAAATGACAAATATATTTTTTTCTTAGAAAATTATTTATTTAAATGAAAAATGTAAGAAAACAAAAAATATATAAATGTGTATTTTTTTGCTGACTGGAGGAGCTGTGAAAAGTCAGTCGATCCTCCTGTGTAGATAGTACTTATAGTAATGCTGTAAACCATTGTACATGTACTGTATTGACGTATTGGACAATTAGAAACAAAAAATTGGTACAGTACTAATGAATCTGTACAAACCAGAAAAGGTTTTGTAATTATGTTGCTTATAAAACTGAACCTAACCTATCCTGGGCCTTATGCACAATAACTGAGGCCTAATACAGAACTGTACATATATACTATACGCAATACTAGGCCCAGGAATATTTAAGTTTCGTTTTTAACTTTATTTTTTCAGGACTCTACAAAGTGAATTCACGATAGTACTAAATTCTACTATCTAATTATCCATTACGTCAATATATGTATGATGATCCACATAGCTACAGAAAGTACTACAGTATATAACAGGAGGATAGGTTAAAAAATTGGAGTGGTGGCAATTTGGAATACAGGCATACCTCAGAATAAGAGTTTAATCCGTTCCTGGAGACGCCTCGCCTTCCGAAAACTCGCATTCCGAAGTTAATTTCCCCATAAGAAATAAAGGGAAATGAATTAATCCGTTCCTGACTACCCCAAAAACCCCACATCAAACTAAATTTTTATACCTAATTTACCTAATTCATCTAAATAAACCTACAAAACTGTGTTCCAGTTATTACTTACCTTGCTGTCGAGTGCTGTAGGCGTATGGAAGATGGTGAGGAGGGGGGAGGAGGAGAGGAGTTACTGTTTGGAAGGGGAGTCCCCTTCCATAATCACATCACATAACCCCATGCCTTGTAACACTATGGATACCACTTCTCTTTCTAAATTTTTCAAACCAACCCCTGCTTGCCTTAAACTCTTTCTTATCTGCATCACTCGTTGCAGGGGTATTCTTTAGAAGGTCTTCGTGCAACACCCTGGCTTTCTCACAAATAATGGCCTCCGAAACACTATCACCCCTCAACTCCTTGTCGTGTATCCAAATTAATAACAACTTTTCCACTTCTTCAAGTATTTGTGGTCTTTGTGCCGTTAATGTTCTTACTCCTTTTGCCACTTTAGCACCCATAATCTTATTTTTCTTCTTAAGTATAGTGCATATTGTTGATGTGGCTTTGTTGTACTGCCTACAAAGTTCAACAACACGTGTACCGTTCTCATGCTTCCGAATGATCTCTTGTTTCTCCTCTATTGTCATCCTCACATGAGCTTTCTGGCCTTTATCCTTACCACTGGCTTTCTTGGGACCCATGGTGAGATATATAATAACAATAACAATAATTTGTATAGACAAATCACCAAAAATCCAACAAAACACTGAAAATCCGCAAGAAGAATTGATGTGGGGGTAGTCACTGAGCGCGAGACAATAATAAACTGAGGGGCGGCGGGGCGGAGGGGCGACGAACGCGCTAGGTCGGCTGTACGCGTATCAACAAACTCGCGTCCAAACTCGCCTCCCGAAGTAACCATCGCCTTCCGAGACAAATTTTTGGAGTAAATACACCTCGCCTTCCGAAAACCTCGCATACAGGGACAATCGCATTCCGAGGTACCACTGTATCTCTGGATATCCAATGCCGACGTTGCTGACACTGTGGTATGAGACATGTCTCCAGTGTTCACCTGGATGTTTCTATGATCATTTATCACTTATGTTTATATATTCACTATAGTATATGTGTTTATAACTTGATTTGAGCACATAATTCACATAAATGAGGATTGAGTGCATCTAATAATACAGCCTGTACTCCCAAGGTTTCCCAACGTCAAGAAAATGGTCAAATTAAAGTGTCCTCTCCTAACCTACCAGAGGACCCAAAACAAAAACCGGGACAGTACTTCACTTTCGCGAGCCGCTTCTATTTGCAAGTACAGTACGACAATATTTGGCCTTATGTAACGCATACGAGCGATGTTCCTAAGTATACTATTGTATACAGTACTTCAATACTTTTTACGATGATGTATACTTCATTACAACCATATACTGTGTACAAATTGAGCTAGTGGAGGCCCATGGCGTCGGCCTCATCTGTCATCACAAAAGCTTTGTCAGCAAAACATGCTGCTCTGATCCTCTCATTCTCAGTATTGACCTTGGATGTCTAAACAATAGATAATATGTATAACAGGAGCAATATAAATAGATGTAAATTGATATGAATAGGCATATATGAGGCAGCCCATATTTATATCGATATAAATAGGAGCTGCTTCATATGGACCCATATAAAGGCCTTCCGTAATTCCTTTATGTTGTTCAAATGATGATTGGTTAACCAAGTATACTTCAATACAATCATAAAGAGTTGTGAAAACCATATGAAATTAATTGACACACATATCATGTAATTAAAATGGAATTTTATACCATGACGATTACCACATTGGCGCAATAGCCTTTGCAATAATAACTGCAATTACATAGAAAGGTTAACACTTTGCATGGCCCGGCGTGTGTGCCATAGCCCACCCCAAGGTCGGCCTGGCGTTTCCCGTGAGCGCGCACCCCGCACTAAAATGTGTACTCTTTCCAGTGGTCTGACCTCAATATTCATGCTACGTCATTCATTTTGGTATCAAATTGTTCGCAATAGAATTCTCTAAAGAAATATATTCACATCGAATGATTATTAGACTATAATAATTGAACAATAAATCAAATTTTAACAAATATTTTAATTCTGGACAAAACATGCATCCCCGCCAGACATCTGTAGAGTTATTAATGGATGCAATTTCTGTCCCCGCCCGTCGAAAGTGTTAAATAAAATTGTCATCCACACTTCCGTGGAAATGTTTATTTCCATGGAAGTGTGGATGACAATTTATATTATGCAGGCGTGGATCACTAATTCCTCTGAGCTTCAGTAGTAGTTAGGGAAAGTTGAAAATTCCAGCATAGCAGCAGTAGTTGCTTCTGGAATCTTTCATTATTAACACTAATCACAGCTGAGTGGATAAAGCCTCTGCCTCACTTGCATAGGGTTCATGGTTCGAGTCTCCTAGAGCCCAGGTGAATGAAATAGTAAGGTTAATCAAGAACAGATAGAATTTGATTTTCATGTGTCAAGGTAAACTCAACAACATCGACATAGTTATTATATCCATAGTAGCATCATTTGTGTAAAACCCAGACATTAATAACTTAGACCAATGTATAATGATAACCTCATTACCCCAATGAATTAATGTATGACAGTAACTGCACTTTGAGGGTCAAATCTGGGGCACCACTAAACTCGGAATTGTTAAAATGCCAGTAACTTTTTCAGTAATTCTCGGGAGGGCAACAGACTGGATGGCTGGCAGGCAGGTGAGTTGGCTGGCTGGCAGAAAGGCTGGATTGCAGGTAGGCTGGATAGGGAGTGGATGGGTGGGCTGGATTACAGATACAGCAGTCTGTATGGCAGATGGGCTGACTGGATGGTGGGCAGGCAGTTTGGATGATGGGTGAGTGGGCTGGATGGTGGAATAGTACTCTATTGCAAGACATCAACAAAGGAACTGCATGCAAAAGCCAGGCTATCTAGTGGTTGCATTTGGTACTACGAGTTTCAAGCTAATTTTAAATGCTTCTTTTGTTCTGTGTGAAGCATTTCCAGTTTTGCATTTTTTAGTTTTTTTGTCCTTGTTAACCATCCAGTTGTCTGTAAACATCACTGACTTTCTGGATGCTTTTCCAGTCTGGTGGCAAAATGTTGCTTACAATCTGTGCCACTGAGAGAGAGGGGCCAGATTTTGATTCTGGTCCGCAGTAGGCCAAATAGAATTCCCACATCTGATGTGACCCATTTAAAGGGTGCAGTCTAAGTGAGATAGCTTTAGGGAGCCTCTGGGACTCATCAAGAAACAGGTGTTTCATTACATTCAGTCCTAATTTTCCCTATGTTTTCCATTTCTGTTATTGCCTGTTTCACTGTTACTAATTTTCCCTATGTTTTCCATTTCTGTTATTGCCTGTTTCACTGTTACTATCTCCAACTTCACCCTTCCCTCGCTCCTCAATTCTTCCACTTTTGTCTCCATTAGCTCCATATTTCTTTTTAATTAATTCACTTTACATCATTCAGATTTACCTCAGGGAGTTACCGAGGGGACTCTCCAAGAAAAGAACAATGTATGATGTCATATAATAAAAAACTTACAATATAGGTTTGTACATGTTTATATACATTTGTTACCTACACAGAATCTTGCAATATCTTCAGATGTGGTACAGCCAGACTCCACAGAAACCTGAGAAAAAAACAGAATTGAATGTAAAGAAATGCCACTTTCTGGTGGGTTCCTGGTGGCTCCTTGGTGCTTGCTACCTGGCAAACTACACCCAATTCAATCTATGCCAAGCACTTGAGTCTATCGTGGACAAGACTAAAACCTGGCCCCCTCTAATGAAGCACAAGGATCAAGGAAGCATAGATCACCCTAATCAAGATAAGGATACCAGAGACGTGGGTGAACCATAACAAACAAATGGCAAGGTAAATAAAGCATATAAAATGAAAGAGCACTCCAAGATTTATGAACCACTTTGTAAAGCAATTCTCTCAATAGTCCCACCTGCACACTATCAGGGGACTGTGCACCTTCCTCCTTGATCCACAACTTTGACACCTCAGACATATAGCCAGGAAAACAGAAAACTGAAGCCCATGAATGAGGAAGGGAGAGGTCCCAAGGAGCTACCAAGGACCCACCAGAAAGAGGCCTTTCAGTATATTCAACTCTGATTTTCTGCAAGGACTTCAGTAGTAGCTCTTTTGTCCTGTGCCACTACCGAGAACAAATAAAAGGGAACTCGTGGGAGGAGAATCACAGTAAGTAATTCCCGAAGATATGAGGCGATAGTAATAATTTAACCACCCTAAAGTCACACAAGTCTAGCACGGCCCAATAACGTTCACCAAGTAACAAGCCACCAGTATTATGTTCGAGCGTCAAAACCCCTTAGCCAAAATATCTGGCCAAGACATTTTAAAAAATACAAAGAGAGCCATAAACTTATGAACATCATGTGCCCAAAAGTAGGCTGCTGCCTGACTAAACTAGATGACACTGCAAACAAACTGAGACAAATGGAGCCTGGAACAAGAAACCAAGGACACTGGATCCACAAACAGAGCATTCCCCCCCCCCTCCCCACCAATAGTGGCACAGTTATTAACAGTGAACGGCTACAACCAGACAAAATACATGATGCATCTCAAGCTGAAACAAAAAGCATTGATCACCAAAGAACCATCTGGAAACCAGCTACTGTATCTCATTCTTAGCCACAAAGGAAAGACAGAATTGTAAGAAAAAAAACTAACCCAAGACCAAAAATCAAAACCCCTGCATCCAGAGATGAATGTGAAGTTCCTTAAACTGACAATTGGAAGCGAGGGCCAACAAAATCAAAGCCTTGAAGACACAATCCTGGACCAAAGGGGCAACAGCAAACCAAGGAGAGGAGAAAAAAAACTTAACCTTGTCCAAGTACTAAGATGGCTCAAGAGAAGTTTGAGCAGGCCGGAGATGAGAACCTGCATTGAATGTAATGAAACACCAATTTCTGGGTAAGCCCCCCATGGCTCCTTGAAGCCAAATGATGAGATGGTTACCATCTACTGGGTCACATCAGCAGTAGAGTTCTAGAGGGCTACCGGGAACTGGAGCCAGAACCCAGCCTCCTCACAGATGTGCAGGGAGCAGTGACATTTATTTTCACTACCTCACCAGAGAAGACAACCAGAAAGTTAGAGAGTCAAAACAAACTACTGCTGGATTTAAAAAGAGACAGAAGTCTCAAAACCAGCCAAAAGAACTCCCCCAATTATGTACATAAATGGTTGAATTCTCTTGGGACTAGCGTGAGCATTCTATAACAAAGGTGGGGCTCATTCGCCCCACCTTCCCCTCCTTTAGGTGTGCACCATTGATCATAGTACAGTGTACACTTGGGGGTGATTTTGGATGTCATGGGGTTCAAATCCTGGTCGGCAATGCTGTTCATATGGTTTTCTCAATTCCATATGATTGTAATGAATTAAACCAGGTCAACTAATCATCACTGGAACATAATAAAGGAACTATAGAATACCTATTGGCCCATACAATGCAACTCCTATTTATATTGATATAAACAGGGGCTCCCTCACATGGTTCAATAGGCCTATTTGAGGTAGCTCCTATATATCTAGATATAAATAGGAGCTGCATCATATGAGCCTATTTATGTGTATTTATATCACTCCTGATATACATACAATCGATAGTCTAGACATCCAAGGTCAATATATATCCTGACGGGCCTAACAGCATGCAGAAATGAACCCTCGGGGGAGCAGCTCTCAAATTCATACGGGGAGGGGATGTTATGATAACCCCTACCCCTGCAAAAAGAGGCCCTCAACAGAAGGGGACAGAACTACTTTGAGTCAAAGGGAACCCAACGGACTCCCCTAAGTTCTGGAAGCCAACGGCAACGGCATTGGAGCAGTGCCGGCATCCATGCCCATTACCCCAAAAAGAGTAGAAAAGCAGTTTCCAGAGAAAATGCTTCATAAAAAACCTGCCTTGAAAGTAATGAAACACCATTTTCTGGGTGAGCCCTGGAGGCTCCCTGGAGCTATCAGGCTAATGTGTGATATATTAGATCAGGGCATTTGTCTATAGAGTTCAGCCTACCGGGGACCATGAGCCAGAATCTGCCCCCCCCCCCCATCAGAAAGGTTTCAGGGAGCAATGGTCCTGGAAATCCCCCTTTCCCATGGCTGGGGTTTTTCTTATCTGCCATCGACCGGGGTTAGGCATCCAGAAAGGTAGGCACAACAAAACAAACCCCCGAATGGTGAAAAAAGAACTGTACAACTAAAAATTGAAAAAGAGAGGTAGACCCTCCTTCCAATCCCTAGGAAACTAACAAACAAGCAAACGTCACACTCCACTAAAATGCCACTCGTCCGCGCAACCCTCCAGTTCGGAAGCTAAGTATTAAGAAACTCGAAAAACTGCCGACCGGAGGGGGGGAGGGAGGGTTGCCAGGGAGCCTCCGGCGCTCATCCATTAAATGAAGTCTCATTACATTCAATGCTGGTTTTCTGTGGGGAGCCATTTGGCTCCCTGGAGTTACATAACCAAAGATAAGGAAAAGCGGGGATTTATCTGGGAGGTGGCCGCCATACACTCCTCAACAAGAAGTCGAGACAACTGGCTGCAACCTGCGACCCAAAGCAACACAGGAACCCACAGGAGCAAGAACGTTAACCAAATATCGAGTGGCCAGGATCCTGTTCGACCTCCAAAATCCTCGTGCCCGAATATCAGCCCAGGACATGTTGCCAACCATGGCAGTCAATGCAGCAAACCTCCTAATGGCATGGGCACGAGGATAGACCGCAGGCTGGCCAGACTTAATAATCTTGCAGACGACCTGGGAGACACGAGTCCTGGAACAGCATACGATGGAAACCAGATCGCCCCAAAGCGCATTCCCTAACCACCAAAGCCGAACTGCGCAGGTAACGGCAAAGAGCCGCAACCGGACACAACACATGATGCACCCCTGGCATGCTGACCAACCAAGCATCATTGATTCAAGGACCCCTCCGGAAAGCAGCCGTCTCGTTCTTCGCAAGAAAAGGAGGAGAAGGCTGCAACGGAACAAACCAACCACCAGAACCAAAAGAGAAGAAACCCCTGTGCCAGAAGAGAGCATGCAGCTCACCGACCCAACTCCCCGAGGCCAATGTCAAAAGAAACAGAGAATCGGAAAAGCAATCTTGAACTGAAGGGGCCACCACAAACCGAGGAGAGGAAAGATAGGAGGGCACCTTATCCAAGGATCAGGATGGCTCAGGTGGTGCGTGAGCAGGCTGGAGGTGAAACAAAGCACGAGAAAGCTTACAGAATGGGGCAGAAGTAACATTCACCCCGAATACAAGCTGAAGCGGCTCTGCCAGTGCCGCACGAGATGAGGCAACAGTATTAGGCATTAAATGATGGTCCTGAAAGCCGAGACAAAAAGGACAAGACAACCCGATCTGAAATAGAAGACAACCTATGAAGAGAGAAAATGGCAAAAAGAATGCCAGTAAACTTCATACTGTTGCCAAGACGAAGCTCTCGGGTGGGACACCATCAACAAAGCCACCTAATCATAATACAATTGGTGTTAAACCCACGTCAAAAAGACCAGACGCGAAGAGCAGAGGAGAAGACCGAACCAGCTGTGTACTGGACTGGTCCAACTAACTGGAAGAGGCAGAGGTGCGGAAAATGCCCCAGGTTTGCACACCGAGCAAGCAGCACCTGGAACGAAGGCTGGGCCAGCCACCAAGGGGCCACGAGGACTACTCTCCCTTGGTAGGACTCCAACTAAACCAGAACCCAAAGCAACAGCTGGACCAGGGGGATGAGGTACAGGTAACCCCACCTCGACCAGTTCCGCTGAAAGGCATCCACCGCGACAGCCTTGCAGTTGGGGAAGGCATGTCTCAAGAACACTTAGCTGAAATAACAGTGGAACCTGCACAACAGATAGGTGATTCAGGAACCCTACAGCAGTCATGTGGTCTTGAGGACTCAAGCCCTTGGAGGGTGAGGGGCCCCTTTCTCCTCCTCTGCAAACAAGTGGGGAAGGTGGGTTGAATGAGCACACACTAGTTTTGAGAGATTTGATTATTTGTTTACATAGGTGGTGGAGTTCACCAGGTGGATTGTGAGGCTTTGGTCTCTTTTGAACCCAGCAGCTTTTTGTTCTGGTTCACTGGCTTTCTGGATGCCTTCTCAAGTGAGGTGAAATCTTCTCCCAGGGCCTCTTTGAGGGGGGGGGGGCCAGGTTCTGGCTCTGGTCTTCGGTAGGCCTAAGAACTCCATGGCTCATTCAACCTAGTAGTTGGGAGCCATCTCATTGAGACAGCTTTAGGAAGCCACAAGAGGCCACCCCCTCAGAAAACCTGTCTGTCAGGTCAGTAAGTCAAGAATTCAGCAAGGTAAGTCCAGTCCAGCCAATCACCCTACTTCAATACAGTCCAGGCAATTTTGCCAAATCAGTTCAGATCAGTTCAGTCTAGTCAGCCACCCATGTCCAGTCCTATCTCACTATCACATACTTTACTATGAAAAGAAAATAGAATATTGCATGCAAAATATGTATACAAACTCAAATTGTATATTTCATTGTAAATAACAACTACAAATATGGTGTTGAAAGTAATGACACATCCCTTTCTAAGCAGTCTCTCAATAGTTTCCTTTGGCTTAGGCATTGACACCACTAAGATATTATGAATAATGCCAAACTTTTGGGTAACCTTTTCTACTTATGACGACAAGGACTCTACCAATGTCTTGTCCCTTGCAAATAGGCAGCAAACATGTGATCACAGATTAATTCCCAACTGAGAAAAATTGCCTGCTATAATACAGAACAATATTTCAAAATACTGTATTTAAACTCCCTTTGAATTGCCAAGAAAATTTCTAAAACTACTGATGTACCCACTATTCAGTTACCTTAGGCACCACCAGATCGCAGCCCTACAGACAAGAGAGTTGGTGAAGGATGCCTCATACTGAAGTCAATTCAGTCTATTCCTGTAGACTTGGGAAAGACATGAATTAAATGGTGAGAATAAGGAGCTACAAAAGGGCCACTCAGAAAGGGTCATTTCATTACTATCAACTTTTTATTTCTGAACTGGCCCTCTCAGTAGCTCTCCTTTGATTCCTCCCCACACTAATTTTAAAAAAGAAAGAACAGACAAAACAACAAATAAATTATTGGGCGACTTACTAGAGGAACATCAGACAGAATATAAGGCCACTGAAATGAAATGACAGCAGATGTCAGGCTGAAATCTGGAAAATATCTGGATGAGAGACCACAATTAGACCTCCATGAACGCTTGTTCATGGTCATGAATACAGGGAACAAGGCTGACGACTCGTGCTTCCTTAAGTCATGGACAGGGTAAGTCAGAGACAGGGTAATAATCTGATTAAATTTTGCTACCCGACAATTGATTTGTGATGGGAGAGCCTACATGCAAAGTAACATTGTACAAGGATTTAGAAACAACACCAAAGAATTGATTTCCCTGGCAACCTATGGATAAAGCAGACTGCAGCAACAGGATAGTGTGTGATGGAAACCAAGATGAATAAACCAGATTTCAATCAAACAAGGACTGTAGTGAAATTCAGTGACACATTCTTAGTGAGGAGGGATAGGGCAGTATGAAGGCAAAAAAACAATCACCAGGATCAAAGAATAATGAACCCTACCAACAACAGACAGCATGCAAGTTTCCATATCCAGTATTCCAAGTATGCCTGAATGATAATCGAATAGAGACAGAGCTGGCATAGAACTTGATATGTCAGCCTGGTGAAAGTCCTGAGTGCTAGGTTAAGTCCAAAGGAAAGTGCCCAGTGCCACCTGGTGGTCAATGAATAAGTTGGACAGTCAGTGCTTCGAAAGTTTCGGAATGTTCTTGTAACTCAGCAGAGCCAAGAATTGTTCGGAGGGAGTTTGAGGGTTTTGAAGTATTTGTGTCATAACAGGCAGTTATTCTTGGTTTAGGATTAACCTTTTGTGCCTAAGTAAAGGGGAGCTACTGAGGGTAATGGGTTCAGAAAAATCAGTAGTAATACTTAATGTTAAGCATACATACCACATCATCCTGAGAATGTTGACTGCTGCTTTCATGGTTGTTCTCGACATTATTGTGCTTTGCCTTCCTCTGATGAAAAAAAAACAGTGTTGAATGTAATGAATGCCATTTTCTGGGTGAGACCTGGAGAGTTCCCAGAAATATCCAGGCTGATATGGATATATTAGCCTTCTGGCATCAGTCAATGTGCATCAAGTTCTTGCCTACCAGGGCCCACGAGCCAGAACCTGGCCCCTCTCAGAGAGACACGAGGAGCAATGGCCTATATAATTCCCCCATGTCGTTGGGAGCATTCTATATCTGCCATCGACTGGGTATGGCACCCAGAAAGGTAGGCGCTCCAAAACAAACCCCTATTCTGGTGAAAATATTGCTGCCGAAATGGGAAGGGGGGTTGCACAGACAGTGGCATGGTAACATGATGACATCATGCTCGTTTGCTAATTTTCGTTTAGGGAGTTCTGTCCACTCATTCGGCTTTCGGTAGCAATATTTTCACCAGAATAGGGGTTTGTTTTGGGATGCCTACCTGTCTGGGTGCCAGACCTGGTCGATGGCAGACAGAATGCTCCCAACCTCATGGGGGTTTCTATAGGCCATTGCTCCTTGTGCCTTTCTGAGGGGGGCCAGGTAAGCAAGAACTCCATACACATTGACTGATGCCAGAAAGCTAATATATCCATATCAGCCTAGATAGCTTCAGGGAGCCGACGAGGCTCTCCCAGAAATATTATTAGAAGCTAAAATATACACTTAAAAGCTTATCTTGCTACTTTAACTTTTTACTTTACATGAAACAGTAGTGTACAGTTAATTTCAAACACAGAACATACTTAAAGTACAGGATACTATATGTGTGTAATTACAAACTGCAATTGTAAGTGGCTGATTGTATCACAAAAAAGAGCAATACTCATCATATACTCACTAGTCTTCCAGTTCTATGGAACATTATATTAATATTTTACAAAAGTACACACGAAAGTTATGGTTTCTGCACACAATAGGTTGCTAATTATTGGAGCACATCCTATATGTCTAAATTTTGCAACCATAAAATATATTTTCTAATACAGTACCTGTATTTCTTTTTTATGCAGTATTTTGATTCTTCGGCTTCTCTTTGTGCCCTCTCATTGTTGTGTAAGAAATTTTAGACATGATTCAAGATCAGACAAAGAAAATCAAAGGTCTCATATGAGAGACCTTGAGTTTTTTTTTAAATTAGATCAGTGCTCACAGAACCTCTGTGCAAGTAACATGTCACCCTCTACTGCTTTGCCACACTACTGCCTTGTGACTTAAAGATAATCAAGGTTTTCATGAATGAACTTGTGCAACTATTGCAAATAGATTCAGTGTGGTATTTCATTCACCTGGACACTTGAAAATAACATTTCATTCACCTGGACACTTGAAACCTTGAACCACTAATCCCAGGCACGGGAGACAGTCGCTCAGTTGATAGAGCAGCCGTCTCCCATGGATGGGGTCAGTGGTTCAAAACTCCTCATACCCAGGTGAATGAAATAAATTTGTACATATGCCTGGCTCCTCCTGTTCTTGAGTTTGGTGCTGAATTTACTGCCTCTTTGTTCACCAAGCTACCATCTTGTCCTCCTTATGGACACAACGATGGGGCTCCAGCTCTCGGTTCACAGCCAACACACCCAGGTAATCTGGCTACAACCTGGACATAGTTGAGCTGTTGGCAGAAGTCTGCGTGTTCTCCAGAACACCTAATGAAGTCTATCTGCCACTCAAAATTGTGGGTCAAACTATTGTACTGGGTTTTGGTTCAGAAGGATAGTTCAAGGTCAGAGCTAAAGGTCAGCAGGACTTCACCTTATGAAGGATGAGCAGCAAGTGACTCATTTTCCACTTAGATAGCAATCTAGGTGGACCAATAGGAGTCCAGGATAAGGATGGAGGGAGGGGGGGTTTGTGTGTTTATGGGGCTTGCCTCCTATTGGTTGGACATCCTGTTTTTCAGAATGTTGGTGTTTCTCGTGACATTGTGATTTTTATGGATGCCATCTTGTTCCCGAAGATTCCATGGTTATACGTAATGTTTACATCCAGCCAGCTTCCTTAATATGCAAATCTGTGGCGTGAAATTGTTAAAACTTGCTCTCTGTTCCTTTTAGATGCGGGCTCAAATATGTATGACTCTCTAGGTGAAGCCAAATGAGTACACATGCATGCAGTGGACCAAAACTATTACATTTCAGGAAAGTTTTGAAACTAACAAATTGAGAATGTTCAGTAGAGTAAATTATAAATTACAAGAAATACAGTCAAACTTGAACAAAGTATCCTGAATTTAAAACTAGTGACTGTGGCATACTAGAGAATTTGCAGTAATTTGCAAGCAAAAAATAAGCACAATAAATATTAAATTAAATACATAAAAATTACATAACTGATTGGGCACTGGTAGGTAGAATTATTATGAAATAATTACCTGCTTTGACTTTCCTCCTTCAGCCATCTTGAACCCCCCAGATCTTGTCTGAAATTTTTGTTCACACTTAAGAGATTATGTTTTACTGTTTTGTAGTAAAACCAACAACATATTATTAATTATTATTAATATAATTAATAAGTATTATTATAATTAATAAGTATTATTATAATTAATAATTGTTATTAATGTAATTAATAATTATTAATGTAATTATTAATATAATTCTTATTATAAAATTATTATTATATGTGCACCATCTGCACTGTATATACAGTAGTATTTTTAAATAAAAATAATGCCGTTTTGGCATTTTGTGCTCTAAAAGATATTGACCCATTTTTTAGAAAGTGCAGTGCTCTGTCAGGAGTAACTTGGAAAATCATCCAAATGCAGCCTGTAGCAGCCCCATTAGAAACAACAACAATAATAATAATAATAATAATAATAATAATAATAATAATAATAATAATAATGCTTAATAATAATAATAAATTTTATTGATAAGAAGGTGTAGAGAAAGAACATAAACAGAAGGGACAATTGTAGGGACAGGACTTACAAATGAAGCCACTAATGCACAAAGCATCTTGAACAAAACTTTAGAATAATTTAAATAACAAAATATTTAAAGATATAAAGAGGTAAACACTTAAAGAGAAGCTAATATAAGTGAGAATATTCAAGAAATATTACAAATGATAACCAATATAAAGGTGATACTTAATGATAAAAGACATAGACTATTAAAAGACATTTTTTTTTCCAATTACATTTGACACTGCTCACGTCTCCTCTTCCCACCACTCCTCCACACTACACAACAAACTTCAACGCCTGATCTCCAACAGTCCTTGGGCCAAATACTCTCTCTCTGACTGTGTTACCAACCTTTCGTCCTACTCTCTTTCTAAGCACCAGCAAGAACTTCTTGGTCTTGGTCTGTCTTTTGCTACTTCCCCTGGCCCACGCTGTGGCATTGATCTCATTAGTTCCTTTGACAGGTTTGTCAATTCTAACTCTAGTACTCTTTCGGACCTGTCTGCCTTTAGAGGGGCCCTTATCCCCGTTCTTGACAGCTTGTTTTCTAAAAATAACCACCTTCCTCGTCGCTTCCAGCTTGCCCTTGCCTCCCTAAAATCTAACAACTCTATTCTTATCCTTCCTTCCGACAAAGGCAATTCGGTGGTTGTCCTTGACCGTGAGGACTACCTCCGAAAAGCAGATGTCTTGCTCTCTGACTCTCGCACTTATGGTTCTCTGACTTCTAACCCTTTGGATCGCCTCAAAACTTCCTTTAACCGCAAACTAAGACAGCTCTCTAGTCTTTGCCCTCCTGACTTTGATCTCATTAAACGTTTCCGTGTCATCTGCCCTTCTCTTCCTTATTTCTATGGTCTTCCTAAGACTCATAAACCTGGTGTTCCTCTTCGTCCTATTATTTCTTCACGGGGCTCTGTCAGCTATCCTCTTGCCTCCTGGCTCGCTAAAACCCTGACACCTTACCTTGGCACTTTTTCCCCTGCCCACCTTCGCCACTCTCAGGACTTCATAGAAAGACTGCGCCTGCAACCCTCTTGTAAGATGCTTAGTCTTGATGTCGACTCTCTGTTCACTAATGTTCCGCTCGATGACGTTCTCTCTTTCCTTAGACAGAAGGCGTCAGAGGGCCTCCTTCCTCTCCCACTTCCCACTGACGTTTTCCTCGATCTCATTAGACTCTGTGTTGAATCTAACTCTTTCTCTTTCAACGGTAAATATTACACTCAAACTTTCGGTGTCGCTATGGGTTCCCCTCTCTCCCCTGTTCTTGCTAATTTGTACATGGAATACTTCGAAACTATTCTTCTTCCTTCTATTGATACTCGTCCCTCTCTCTGGCTTCGCTATGTTGATGACATTCTTGCTTTATGGCCTCATGACCTTAATCTTTTCCAGCCTTTCCTCGCCTCTCTTAACAATCTGGCTTCTTCTATCCATTTCAAAGTTGAGTGGGAATCTAATTCCCTCCTTCCTTTTCTTGATGTTCATGTTCACAGCTCTGTGTCTGGGTTCTCTTTCTCTGTCTACCGTAAACCCATGCATAGTGGCATGTACATTCACTTCTTTTCCTACCATCCTCCTTCTGTTAAGAAAAGTGTCCTCGTCTCTCTCTTCCTCCGCGCTCTACGCATCAGCGACCCTCAGTTTCTTGATTCTGAAATTGCCTTTATCTACAAATCATTCTCTCGCCTTGGTTATCCTTTGCATTTCATCAACTGTGCCTACTCTCAAGCTAAACGAAATTTCTTTCGTCCTAAACCTGCTTCCAACACTAGTAGCACTGTACTATGCCTTCCCTTCATATCTGAACTCAAAACTTTTACCAATACCTTTCGTCCTCTTGACATTAAACTCGCCTTTCGACAAACTAACACACTTCGTAGCAATCTAGTTCACACTGATCCTCCTGCTTCTAATGCTGCTGGTGTCTACTCTATTTCCTGTTCATCTTGTCCTCTCCAATACTTTGGCGAAACTGGCCGTACACTGAATGACAGACTTAAAGAACACAAGAGAAGTGTTAAGTCTGCAGACACTAACAATGCTCTCTTCTGCCATGTGAGGGATTCTAATCATCGCATTGATTGGTCTTCCTCCAAAATAATCTTTCCTGCCTCTACTCTACACAGACGCCGTCTTGTAGAATCGGCTCTTATACACAATGTACCCAACATGAACTTGAGTCCTGGCTTTGTTGCTGTGGACTCTTCCCTTTCACAGTATATACTCAAATGCTCTAATCTTTCTAACTAACGTGACTTAACATAAGCTTACCCCTTCCATTTATCTTTCTTTCTCTTTCCTTTTCTTTCTCTCTTCTCCCTTTTTTCTGTTCATTGTCTTCTCCTACGCTATCTTCTCCCTTGCTATCCTCTTCTTATTTCTATTACTATCTCCTTCGGTGGTTATAATGGGAGCTGCCTCGTATGGGCCAATAGGCCTTCTGCAGTTCTCATTATTACTACTAACCCCTACACCTTACTTTCCTCCTCAGCTCTCTCTTGCCTATTTATTGCCTGTCCCTACCTCCTCATCACAATCGACTTGAGAATGGTCCAGGACGGACCGGAATGTCGTCGTCCCTTCAACTTCTAGTGTGTGGTCTGGTCAACATACTTCAGCCACGTTATTGTGACTCATCGCCTGCACATAGACTATTACATTATGAAATCTGTAGTTCTAGTAATGGTAGAGTATGGTAACCACACATCACCATTACATCTAGTAGTGGTAATGTGTGGTTTGGCCATAAATGGTACAGTAGTTTTTAACATTAATAACACAGAAAATGCACTGTGTAATTTAGTAAAGCTAGTAGAACATAACAGAGTAAATTAGTAAAATTAAATGGTTTAATGATGCAAACACTTAAAAATAAACAAGATCATGTAGAACTTCAGTAAGCAATTTTACAAATGTAGATACATGTACAATAATTAGATGACAATGAAGAAATGACAAATTTTAAATAAAAATTTAAGAAACACAAAAAGGCCTTGGAGTCAGGACCCATCATTCGCTGAAAGTTGCATAATAGGTAGGAGCAGCAGTAAAAAGAAGCTACCCAAATTCTAGGAATAATCAAGCATACCTTTACTTAAAGGAAAAGGTGGTGGTGATTTAACTGCATAAATCTCTCGTGCTTGGATTACTGTATCCAAGCATTGAGACCTCATCTTCAGGAAATAGCTGGCTTGTAGAAAGTACAACACTAAGCAACCAAAATCATTACAAAACTATGTCAACTCTCATATCAGGAATTATTGAGGGCCTCAGAATTAACAACACTGCAAACCAGGCATGACAGTGTGGATCTCATCAAAATCTTTAAATACTGTACTGAATATTTTGGAGGATGTTGATCCAGACAATTTCTTCAAAAGGCCAGATGTAACACAAATAAGGAGCAATGGTTTCAAGCTCAACAAGCCACAATGCAGGACTGAAAACAGGAGATGCTTTTTCACCCACGGTTATAAACCCACAGAACCTCCTACCTGCCACAGCTGTAAATGCCAAAACTGTTAAATTTTAAAAATCCATCTGGAAAAATTCATCAGGGCAAATAGGGTGCACCTTTGACAAGTTGCCGGTATCCTGTCTTCATTGAGGCCACTAATGTTAGTGGCCCTCAGGTAAATTCAGATAAAATATTTTCCTGAATTATATCGATTATTTATAATCAATAAAATTTCGTATCCTGGCGGGGGAGGATTGACTCTGTGTCAGTACTGAACTGTAGCCTCTGTTCACCCAGCAGTGAATGGGTACCTGGTTGTTAAACGATTTGGTGGGTTGTATTCCAGGGGAAAATTAGGATTAAGGACCTGCCCGAAACGCTGTGTGCGCTAGTAGCTTTACAAGAATGTGACAACTTTCGTATACTGTGTGTGTATGTATGTATGTATGTATATGTATATGTATATGTATATGTATATGTATATGTATATATATATATATATATATATATATATATATATATATATATATATATATATATATATATATATATATATATACAAAAAAAATATAATATATACAGAAAAAGGAAGATGGTGAATGGGAAGAGGGTCCACATGAGGGGTAACAATCAAAGCACAGCATAAGCGAGAGTGAGGATGTTGTAGGGACCGCACAAGGTAGCGAAGGCAGTAACGATCATGACAATTCTGCAGAGGCTGGAGAATCAGAAGGAAGATGAATTAATACATCTGCGTATGTGTGTATGTACATCATACATACATACACAAGCTTCCTATTCCTGAGAAAATTAAACATTCCCAACCTAACTTAATGGGATGGAAAAAGCTTTGAAAATTGAAGAAATACATTTGCTTGGTCACTTGACTGATTTGATTTAAAGTGAAATACACTGCAATATCCTAATAAATCTCTTGGCCAATTACCGTATGCCGATACATAAGCAGTAATCTTGGGTTAAGTCGTTTGAAGACCACTGTGCTTAGAAACAGTAAATCTTATTTTATGTTATTGAAGAGAACAAATGGCATTAGGGAATCAGCTACCTGTGCTCAGCCAAATCTAATGTAACCTAACCTAACCATCCAACCCTAGACTAATGTAAGTTAAAAAAAAAGTGCCTAGCCCAAAAAATAATTAAAATACTGTACATTTATTTCATATACACCACAGTATCCCTGTCTTGTTTCATACATTCCAATATTTATAGTTTCCAACATTTTGCCTGTAACTCATTTTGTATGTATTTTCCCCCTCTAAATAAAATTATCATTATCGTACACTTACTTTGGGGGTAGGTGTATAAAACTACCCTGGAGGTACGGTCAACACACAAGATTTGACAAAACTCGTTTTTTTGTTAAAACCGTATATACAGTATGGTTGCTAATTCATTGTGTTAGGATGTATTTGCTAAGGTTGTGTTAGGCTCTTCTTTTTTGCGATGCATGCAGCTAGCACGAAGGTTTTTCCTCCTGATGCCTGCCCGAGTGGTGATGTTGAGGCTCAGAGACAACAGGTTAGGTTGATTTGGATAATGTTTGGTCGCTTTTAAAATTGATCTGTGAACCATCTCGGGTATGATGTGACCGGTATCCCTTGGTTGTAACGGAATACTGACTACTTATTTATTTATTTATTTATTATATATATATATATATATATATATATATATATATATATATATATATATATATATATATATATATATATATATATATATATATATATATATATATATATATATATATATATATATATATATATATATATATATATATATATATATATATATATATATATATATATATATATATATATATATATATATATATATATATATATATATATATATATATTACATACATACATACATACATACATACATACATACATACAAGAAGGTACATTGGGATTGTGAGAATACATAACATAGCATTCTTGTAAAGCCACTAGTTACGTGCAGAAACTTCAAAGTCTATAGTGAATATTGTATGGCTCATTTAAGTTTGGGAATATACTGCTAGGCTCTTGATTTACATGTTGACCTTAGTCAATGACGAGGCTATGGCAGAGTGGTCACCCACCCAGTTACTGGCCACATTCAAGTAACTTAACCGATCTGCGAGGCATAAATTTTCGAGTTATGCCAAGACACGTCATGGACCATGGATTATGTCATGATGCAATACTTTCTTTCATGACTAGTGACGATACACACTCCACTGATGTAATTACACACAAAATAAACGAGCCAAGATTACCATAAAATGGGCCATACAAAAATATCATGTAAACAAAAGCCATATATGAGTAAAATGGTGTTACCTTGTGAAGGGTTTTACTAAAGAGATGAATACAGGAGTGTTGTGTAGAGCAAGAGCCACACCGCGTAATCCTTTACACCACCGCCCACCGGATGGGTATGGGGTGCATAATAAAGAAAGAAATTGAAGCCGCACCGTTGTGTTGGACTATATAGGAGCCTCTATATATGCTTATCGAGATCCACTTAGGCAAACTACTGACCTCCAGTCAGATTCACGAAGCTCCAAGTATTTCTTCGTAAGTAGGTTTGCTACGAAGGTTCCTAAGTGCCGGCTAAGAACGCGCCAAAGGGCGATTCATTGAAGTAAACTTATGAAGATTTCTAAGTAGTTTACTTAGGTCTCGCTAGACGTCACTAGGCTTTTAGTTTGGCCAATCAGAGAGAAAGGTAACAATTTTCATCTTACAGCTGTAGATGTGACGACTTATACTGAATTTTGTAACTAGCTCATCAAGATTGTAACTTGCTTAGCTGAATGAACTATGTGGTTCAGTCCCTGAGCCCATTATGTGCCTCTGTAACCCTTTCCACTACCGCCCACAAGATGGGTATGGGGTGCATAATAAATGAACTAAACTAAAACATCTGTAGCCAATCACAACGCTGCCTTATCGGAGCTTATCCGTGACCACTTGCGACATATTTACGTCGAATTTTCTTATAAAATTAGTATATTTCAAAGTAAAACAATGTTTTTTCAACTTGTACAGTCAGCACCGACAGTGTAGTATATAAATATGTTACATTTTTTGTTTACCTACGTAATTCTAAGAGATAGTGTATAGCTCCCCTTGTCGCTCCCAAGACTTGAGAAGCGATGGTAACTATTTACCTATTTATTTACCTAAATTTACCCAAGGGCCACTAACTATACAGTGGCCTCGACGAGGACAAAAAGCCAAGGGCTTGTTAAGTCCCGCCACTTGTCCTAATGATATTTTCTAGCTGGATCTTGGCAGGTACGGCTTCAGCGGGTAGGCGGTTCCATGGGTTTTAACCATCTGGATAAAAAAACGTTTTCAGTCTTACTTGAGGGAACATACTCTCCAACACTATATCTGTGATTGCTCTGTTATCAGTGACTTCATACCAAATGGTATGAGGCACTTTGAGCTCTGTAAATACTTCATACACTCAGGAATATTGGAAGATATTCTTGTGCTGTATCCAGATTTTGCCAGTGGAGGCTATAATAGATCAGCCATTCATTTTATGTTCTCACCTGATTTTTTGTCAGAGTTGATTTGTTTTTGTATTAAGGCAGGTATTTTCTCCCCTGATTCTATGTATGGCTAACCATCCTGTGAGATGGAATTACTAGTTGAACCTATTGCTAGTTCTTGATCTACACTGTGTAATATCTCATATAGAATAGGGGTAGCAGCACATTGATTTTTTTTTTTTTTTTTTTTTTTTTTTTTTTTTGAGATATATACAAGAGTTGTTTCATTCTTGTACACTGTACATTGTTGCATTAGTGTATACCTAATTTTGCTAACTAAAAAAAAAAGAAAGTACTCTCTTCAAGTGTGATTATCTTCCGGGTTCTCCCAGTTGACCACGGGTGACGGGACTCGTGCCTACTGTATATGATTGCTATTTATTTTGTTTGAAGTCCTTAAATTGTTTCATTAATACAGTTTGACACTCGTGTAGTTTTGTCATCAATATTTTCCTATTGTTCTCATTTCTACCATCTTTCCAATTGCAGTGCTGGATTTATTGTGTAGCAAGTATATTAATTAATAATATACTTGCTCTATATTCTCATTAGGAAAGAGGGTACCCTTCCCCTGCAGCTTATCAGGGGAAGGGAAAGCTATATAATTGCAGTACTCATTAGTAATTGGGTTCATTCTTAACTCACAATCAGGAATCCCAGGTTCGAATCTTAGGCGGGACAGGAATGGTTGAGCATGTTTCCTTTCAACTAATCCTCTTCACCTAGCAGTAAATAGATACCTGGGTGTTAATGAACTTATGGGGGTTGTATCCTAGGGAGGGTCAGTACAGTACTTGGATCATGGGAAAAAGGATCTTGATAGAACCCTAAAGTGTATTTTATGCACAGGATGTCTGTCTCGGACAAAATAAATTATTATAATGTACAATACTGTAGGTACCTGGAGGGGATTCTGGGAGTTTTTGAACTCCCCAAGCCCAGCTTAGAGCCAGACTTGACTCGTGAGAGCTTGGTCCAACAGGGTATTGCTTGAGGTGGCCTGCAGGCCCATGTATTCTCTACAACCAGGTTGGTCTAAGTATAATTATACTACGTGCATATGGAAACTATAATGTTGTTTTTTATTGATATAAATATACAGTATTTGCAAATATCTACCATCAGCACTTATTTAAAAAAAAATTGGGGCTGAAAACTAAATAGCGACAACTACTTCACGACTCTTAGATATAATAAACCAATATATTTACTGAACTGGGTCTGGTCCTAAATGATTCATATAAATAATGTAACAGAGGTGACAAATAAAACAATCAAGTATACTTCTGAAAAGTTGTATTCACATAATCCTCTATGAATCAATTTATGTTATCTAAACCTTATAATAAACATTACATTTTTTAAATACAATACTGTATAAAAAAAAATTAACCTGTAACACTGGGCATTCATACAGCATTTATTGCTTAAAATAACTTAAACGACAAACAATGTCGTGTAGCATTAGGATGGTTGAACGTGATGCCTCCACAAATACATAATGTAAAATAAAATTATATTTGTAGAATATACAGTACAGTATTATGATAAAAAATCTAAGTTAAATAATAAACTATTTAATACTAAGACAAATCTAAATGTGTATAATTATTTTGTACTTAAATATCCATATCTGAAATTATTGTACCATACAACTCTGAATATTTATAACAAACTACATCAGACAGCTGTTAACAATCACCTTCAACATTATCATGTGTGTGTGTGTACTTATAACAAGCTGCATCAGACAGCTGTTGACAATTAATCATAATAATCATCTTCATAGTATTCATCATTCCCATTATATTCTCCTCTTCTTCTCTGTAGAAGTTGTAAGGTGGACAAGCTACTCTCATCTTCCTCCTCCTCCTCCTCTTCTTCTGGGTCATCTTCCTCATTTTCCTCCTCCTCATCTCCCTCTTCATCTTGTTTAGTTTTAACAGAGTCACAGCTTGTATCATGCAATGGTTTTTTAGACACGTTATCCTTATCATCTTTGCTGGGATTCCTAGGTCGCTTTCCTGTTAATGAATGGAGTACAGATGATATACCTTTAGGAGTTTCCACTGGAGCAGCTTTTATAAGCTTAGGATTTGGCTTCTCTTCCTTAATATCTACTTTTCCTTCTTCTTCATCACCATTCAGGCTACGAAGGACATCATAATTTATTTTATTTGACAGTCTCTTCTCTAAAAGCATTTTCTCAATTGCTTCTCCAGCTGTATTTGCAGGAGTATTACTCTTTGACTTTTTAGTATAGTTTTTCTTCTTCTTTGGTGGCTTTCCTTCCTTTTCCCTTTCTTCTGCCTCTTTCTTTTCCCTTTCTTCCTTAATTTTCATTTCCTCCAAGTATTCTTTGTTTATTTTCATCCATAATTCTGTTTTTAACTTTATCTCCCTATGAGACATTATATATGAATCAATTTCAACATCGTCAATTCCAGCCAAGTCTAAGACTCCATTATCTTCTGGTTCTGGATCAGCAGGACGAATCTCCATGCACTCTTCTATAGTCTCTTTCAGGCCAAGACTTGCAGCAGAAGGCCCAATTCCCTGAGGTTTTATTTCTTTCTTTACTTCATCTTCACATGAATCATCAAGGCATTTATTTATTGTTTCTAATGTTGCTTCTGTTATAAATTTGTGTGTGTCAGCATTTTCCTGTTCAACAAATTCTTCTTCCACATCTTCTTTATCATACTTTGCCCAAATACCTCTCAGTTTTCGTTTTCTTTCCTCCAAATGCTTCTCTATCTCTTGCTGAAGCTCTGTTAGTTCACTGTCTAAGTCTTCCTGCTTATCTAAGAGCATTTGAACCCTTTCACGTTCCCGTTTTCTTGCCGCCCTAAATGCTGGTGGATCTTGTTCCTCAGCTAAATCCACTGTCATGAATTCTTCTAATGTCAGGGCACTTGATGGGGTCTCACCAAATTCTGTCAAACGTTTTCGTAATGTTGATTCATGAACCTTCACAACTTTTATAACATCTGTAATGGTACGATTGAAGTTGTGGAGCCTAGCAGCTATAACTAGTGCAGCACCACATACTCCAGATGGTCTTCTACCAGTGTGCATCCAGTCACGTTTCATTCGTTTAACTAATCTTAATGCAGTTTCGGATACATCGTGTGCTTTATCACCAAATGATAATTTATATGCAAATCTCCATATATATAAACATGGGTCCATAGCAGGGATATTTATACACAGCGCTGTAGATAACCGAAGATATGTTCGACCAAGTTCATAAACATCAATTTGGAGAGCATCACTAACATCAATGAGCATGTGAGCTGTTTGTTCAGTTCTGCAAGTGATGTATACACAAGCACCAATTACATGGTTAGTTTTTCTGCCACGTGTAAGTCCTTTACTTAACCCTAATTTAAAAAAGTTAAAAGAAGTCTCAATACTTTGTTGCTTGAGACGCAGCTGCTGTGCAAGTGCATTTATCTTTTTTTTAGCATTATTAAGTGTGATTTCTTTGCTTTCTCTTGCAAAAGTTCCATGAAAACCTCTAAACATAGGCCGTTTACTAACAGCATCTGAGGCAACAAACTGCCCAACAGCTGAACTTCCTCCATGAGAATTGTCAAGAAATTGAACTTCACTAACAATGTTGTGTTCTGACAGAACTGTACCACAGGAGGTGCAAACAGCATCTCCACGAGCAGGATCAATGTCAATTTCCCCACAGCCACAGTAATGACAACGTGACGACATCTTGTCTCTTTCATCTGAAATTGAGGAAAGTATCACGATGAGCAAACTTATAGTTTCCTTCTTTAGCTACTTGCTTCTAATAATAATACTGTACTGTACTTTTAGGCAGCATGCTACAATTCTTACATTAATACAGTATTTAAGACTTATAAACAGAAATGTTTTGATCACACCAGACGAGTACAGATAGAAAAATGTGTGCAGGCTTGTTTACTAAAGAGTGGTAGTGGTGTCTGTAGTGCTTGAGATGACCGCAGTGACTGATGTGTATGCAATGAATGTTTTGTTTGTAATGACTGCGAAGGCTGTAACAACTGCAGAGATGGGTGCAGTTATTGTGGGCATTTTGTTCAAATTCAAAAAATTCAAAATTCAAATGTTTATTCAGATAAAGTACATACATACAGGGTGTGATACAAATATTGACAAATATTGATGAATTTATAGATAGAGCTAGTACATACAATGCCTAAAGCCACTATTACGCAAAGAGTTTCGGGTTGTTAGTGTTTATGTATGGCAGTTGCTGTGGTAATAAAGGTTGTTATAGTTTTGGTGGTAGTGTTGGGTGTAGTTGTGATGATTGTAACAGTGGCTTTGGTTGTGAAATTTTTAGGTGATGAATTTGCCTGCAGTCTGTTCCAAGAGTTCTACTCTCCAGTCCCAGCCTGGGGTCAGGTTTGTCTTGATGATTCCTGTTTTCCATTTAAGTTCTTAATTTGTAATCCTTGTGCACACTTGGAGTGGGTTTTGAAAGTTGTTCTACTCCCAAGCCTAGCCCACAGGCTCTCATATACAATACAACCCAATTGGACTGGTACTTCTTGCAGGCACTTGGCTATTTTTTTCTTGTCCAGTGGAAGATTATATATACCTGTTTGCATCTGTTTTAGTGTCTTTTAACAAGGTAATTTTCATGCTGATTTTGGTACAGTATCCTCTGCATAGGATGACATGAAACGGTGACTTTATTCTTGTCTATATGTGATTAGGATATGAAATAGTGGTGGTGGAGGTGTGGAGGATATGAAATATTCCAGAACCAAGTCAACTTCATACCAGGAATGGTTGTGGGCCACAAGACTAACACTGCAAAACCAGGCATGACAAGAGTGGATCTCATTGAAACTTTTAAAATACAGTACTGAACAATTTGGATAATGTTAATCCAGACAATTTCTTCAAAAGGTCAGTTGTAACACAAACAAAGAGCAATGCTTTCAAACTCAATAAGCTACAATGTAGGACTGAAAACAGGAGATGCTTTTTCACCCACAGGGTTATAAACCCATGGAACTGCCTGCCCCCCAAAGCCATAAATGCCAAAAGTCTGCTGAACTTTAAAATCCAGCTAAAAAATCATCTGAACAAATGGGGGGGCCTGTAATAAGCTGCTGGTTATGTCTCAAAGGCCACTCGTGTGTTAGTGGTCCTCAGCTAAATTTAGGTAAATACAGATGACAAAGAGAGTTGGCCCCAAGATGGAATCTTGTGGTACTCCACTCAACACATTTTTGCCAGTAAGGTTCATTTTCATTTAGGACAACCCTTTGCTTTCTTTGTTTTAACCATAGTTTTATCCATTCTAGTATTTTACCATTCATTCCATGTGCTTATTATTTCCAAGGCCATCTTTCATGTAGTACCATATGAAATTACTTTCAGTAGATGTATTCTACATCTACTGAAAGTCCTTTAAAATAGCTGGCTACTGTTTCCCAAAATTTGAATAGGTTAGCAAGGCAAGCCTTTTTTTTAACAAAAACGTATTTTGCTGATTTTACTAGATTGTCAACTGTGAGATGGTAAATTATTCCCTTTTAGGATTCTCTTCATAAGCTTGAAGATGGGAGGTTAGGCTGATTGGTAAGTAATTCTCTGCCAAACTGAATTTTTTGTTTTGTTTTTTGTTTTTAAGCTGGGATGACATTTGTATACAGTACTGAATTTTCAATCTAGCAGGACTTCCTCTTAGTCCAGATATTTCTGAATTGGAGTGTCAGTGGTACCGCTTGCTGGGCAGTTCCTTTACAATTTTAGATTATATTCTATCCATATTGGGGGCTTTAGATTCCTTAAATTTGTCAAAGTATCTCCTGTTTTCTGTCCTACATTGTGGCTCATTGAGCTTCAAGCTGTTGCTCCTTGTGTTACATTTGACTTTTTGAAGTGACCATATCTTTTGCAATAAACCATATATCAGTACTGGGAATTATTAATCTTTAAGCCACCGAAAACATCTTACTTAGGTGTCTGAAGACCAGCAAACTTACCCTACTGGAGTATACATATCTGACAGAACATGCATCTCATAAACAAGAAACTTGAAGTATTGAAGTTTGTTTTCATTGTAAGAACAGAGAACTAAACTATTAGGATAAGTTTAGGCAATTTAATCACACAACTCTATAGAGCAGTTCCTACAATCTTGTACAGCCACTAGCAGGCATAGCGTTTCGGGCAAGTACTTAATCCTAATTTTCCCCAGAATACGACACACCAAATTTTATTAACCAGGTACCCAGTCACTGCTGAGTGAACAGAGGCTACAATTATGGATTGGCACCAAGTAAATCCTCCCTGGCTAGGACATGAACCCAGGCCAAATCGCTCGTGAAGTGCCAGGCAAGTGTGTTACCACTTCGCCATGGGAACTGCTAGAGTGTTAATAGGATATGATAGTAATAGGACTAATAGGATAGTAATAGGATATGATCACTACAGTGGTACCTCGGAACACGAGTGTCCCTGTATGCGAGTTTTTCGGAATACGAGCAGGATTTCCTCGGAAAATGTGTCTCGGAAGGCGAGGGTTACCTCGGACCACGAGTTTGTTGATACGTGTACAAGCCGACTAGCGCATAGTGGCACAGCGATCGCGCCTCAGTTTACCAGTGTCTCGCGCCCAGTGACTATCCCACCTGAATTCTTCACAAGGATTTACAGTTTTTTGTCGTTTTTTGGGTCATTTGAGCATAAAAGTTGTCATTATATATCTCGCCATGGGTCTCAAGAAAGCCATTGGTAAGGTTCAACCTAAGAAAATAGCTGTGAGTAGAGGCAGTAGAGGATGTCCCTTCTTGATTAAGAAAATGTGTGAAGTATGGGAAGAACTGCAAAGTTTTGTTGAAAAAACTCACCCAGATAAAGCTGTAGCAGGCCGTTGCATTGACCTTTTAAATGACAATGTGATGTCTTAATACAGACAAGTGTTAAAATGTAGGGAAAAACAAGTGTCTTTAGACAGATTCTTAGTAAAACAAGCAAGTCCTAGTGGTATGCAGGCAAAATGTGCCAGAGTGTGCATACCAGTGAAGTCCTCACTGCCTGATGGTATAATGGAAGGAGACTCCCCTTCCAAACAGTAACACCTCTCCTCCTCCCTCCTCCTCACATCTTCCATACACCAACAGCAGTTCTCTTGAGGTTATCTTGAGATGATTTCGGGGCTTTTTTTTTTTAGTGTCCCCGCGGCCCGGTCCTCGACCAGGCCTCCACCCCCAGGAAGCAGCCCGTGACAGCTGACTAACTCCCAGGTACCTATTTTACTGCTAGGTAACAGGGGCATAGGGTGAAAGAAACTCTACCCAGTGTTTCTCGCCGGCGCCTGGGATCGAACCCAGGACCACAGGATCACAAGTCCAGCGTGCTGTTCGCTCGGCCGACCGGCTCCCCCCAACAAGGGTCCTCAGCAAGGGTAAGTAATAACTTGAACATCAAATCAAATCAAATCAAATCAAATGTTTATTTAGGTAAGGTACAAACATACAAGAGATTTTACAAAGAGTGATGGATTTATAGATAGGGCTAGTACATACAATGCCTAAAGCCACTATTACGCAAAGCGTTTCGAGCATGAAAAACTTAAATGACTGAAGCTTAATACTAATTGAGCATAAAGAATAAAATGAGTTGAGAACAAATAAAAAAAAAAAAGAGATAAAAAAGGGGGGAACATGGCTGAAAAAGCAGCACAAATACAATTCTGTCGACAAGCAGTGCCATTTAAAAAAAAAAAAGACATTGGTTGACAATAGAGGGGTAAGGTAGGTTACAGGGAATTTATTAGGTATAGCTTCATTTTTATCTTAAACTGGTTGAGAGAGGTACAGTCTTTAACATGGTTGGGAAGATCATTCCACATTCTGGGTCCCGTGATTTGTAGAGCATTTCTAGTTTGATTAAGTAGTACTCTAGGAATATCAAAACTGTATTTATTTTTGGTGTGGTGCTCATGGGTTCTGTTACAACCTTCTATGAAACTTTTGAGGTCAGGATTGGCATTACAGTTCAGCGTTTTATATATGTATAATACACATGAGAGAATGTGCAGTGACTTAATATCTAACATATTCAGAGATTTGAGTAGGAGTACCGAGTGATGTCTGGGGCCAGAGTTGGATATTGTCCTAATAGCAGCTTTGTGTTGAGTAATTGGAGGACGTAAATGATTTTGGGTAGTAGAACCCCAAGCACAAATACCATAGTTGAGATATGGATAGATGAGGGAGTAATAGGGTCACCAGGGCAGGGCGGGGTACATAATATCTGATCTTAGAAAGAATGCCAACAGTTTTTGAAACTTTTTTTGATATATTTAGAATGTGTCCCTGGAAATTCAGCTTGTGGTCAATGAGAATGCCAAGGAATTTGCCATCTAATTTGTTACAAATTTGGGTATTGTTTATTTTGAGATTTATTTGATTAGAGGATTTATTGGCAAACAGAATATAGAAAGTTTTGTCAATGTTAAGGGTGAGTTTGTTGGCAGTTAGCCAAAGATGGACTTTACTTAGCTCAGTATTTACTGTGGCATTTAGAGCAAGGGGGTCAGGACTGGAGTAAATGAAGGTTGTGTCGTCAGCAAATAGAATTGGTTTGAGGTGTTGGGAGGCATTTGGAAGGTCATTAATGTAGATGAGAAAGAGGAGAGGGCCAAGCATGCTGCCCTGAGGAACACCAATGTTGATGGGTAGGGTGGGAGAAATTGAATTATTCACAGAAACATACTGGAGCCTGTCTGTAAGGTAGGATTTGAAGTACTGCAGGGAGTGTCCTCTGACTCCATAATGATGTAATTTAAGAAGAAGGTTTTGGTGGTTGACAGTGTCAAAAGCCTTACGCAGGTCCACAAATAACCCAACAGGGAACTCATTTTTATCAAGTGCTGTATGAATCAAGTTAAGCATACTAATAAGTGCATCGTTAGTGCTTTTTTTGGGTCTGAAGCCATATTGGCAAGAGCTAAGTACATAGTTTTGTAGGTTTATTTAGATGAATTAGGTATAAAAATTTAGTTTGATGTGGGGTTTTTGGGGTAGTCAGGAACGGATTAATTCATTTCCCATTATTTCTTATGGGGAAATTACTTCGGAATACGAGCCATCTCCAGGAACGAATTAAACTCTTAAACTGAGGTACCCCTGTACATACATGATAATGAAGGGAATATATACAACCCATCCTCCTGTTTAGATAGTAGTTTTTGTAACTTTGTGCTCCATAGTACAAATATTGATGTACTAGTCAATTACATAGTAGAATTTGGTACTACAGTATTCACTTTATAATCCCCCCCAAAAATGAAGCTAAAAAAACAAATATTCCTAGGCCTAGTATAGCACACATATTTATTACTTTAAGCCTCAGATATCATGTATTAGGCTTAGGAAGGTTAGGTTAGGTTAGTTTGTCTTTGCAACATAAATATAAAATCTTTTCCAGTTTGTCAAAATTCAATATAAAGTTCCAATTTCTACTTTCTAATTGAGTTGAACATTGGTATATGTCCTCAGCATTACAATAAGTACTACCAAAATAGGAGGATTGGCTGATATGCAAGAAAACAAGGCCAGCCTATTTAAATTGAGAGGAAAGAGAAAAAAAAAAGAGGACATTGGTGGAATCTGGAAACTAAATGTCACAAATATTATGAAATTCTTAGTATTGCATATGCATATTGAGCAAGTGGAATGCACTGAAAGGGAAAGTCTTCAAACCCATTTCCATCCACACCTTCAAAAATAGATACACTACAGAATTTGGATGTTAGGGTGTACAAAATGCACACGAAGTACAATGGCAGTCGCAGATAGTTAAGCATGTACCATCTCTCCGTACTTTCTGATCAATTCATACCATAGTTATTATGTAATAATTATACCCTATACAGTATACAACATTACAAAATATGCATCAAATAATGAACCTATTTTATTGTAACCTAATCCCAACCTTGACTAATTATATGAATGGTTTGTGAGTAGCTTCTCGATGCTTTATAAACAAATACATAATATTCAGTGTTCATGTTTAGTATAACCTGATGTATGCAGGTATAATTATTACATTGTCATGTACGAGCAACTGAGCAGAGGGTAGGAAGCCTGTGTCCACTTGCAGGTGGGACGACAACACCAAACACCCCATCATGGGCTAGCTGGGGAAATATTAACTGTACAAGACACATATGTATTTATATTTGGTAACTGTGCAACCTTCATCGCTATCAAAGTTACTCCTCAACACCAGAATAATTAATAACACGGTAGACTGTCTGCCGTATATCGATTTCGTACCTTGGCGATATCAACTACGAAACGTGTTTCTCGCAGTTTAGAGGTTGCTACTTATTAATCTACTTACCAAGAGTTCACACAGGGAACACTACACATATGTGGATAAGTATATGAGAATAACTGTTGTTTATCCTGTGTACAACAGACGACACGGGCGAGCCAGGGAGCCTGGGCGGTTACTCTCCGCCTCCACACACACACACCGAGGTACAAAGGGTTGGTGAGATTATCAAAATCAAAAATCAAAATGTTTATTCAGGTAAAAGTACATCCATAGAAGATGAGTTACAAACATAATGTTGGATTTATAGATAGAGCTAGTACATACAATACCTTAAGCCACTAATACGCACAGCGTTTCGGGCAAGGTTGCACAAGACTGGGCAATTACACAAGATTGGAATTTTTACATTCATGCAAAGACACTAACACGCATAGCGTTTCGGGCAGGTCCTTAATCTAACATATCAGGTAAGATGAAATGGTACATTATAGCAAAGTTTTTATATCAACAAATAACTACAACATAAGCTGACAGCGATGATTATACTGGTAAAGATATATATTCCAAAGACTGGGTCCTTTTATTTGTATGGAGTGTTTGCACAGATTTAGTCTAACTCTGGGGGATATCAAAGAGATATTTATTTATGGTGTGGTGCTCATGGGTTCTATTACATCTATCAAGGAAAAATTTCAGATCAAGATTAGCATTTCAGGAACAATGTTTTATACATGTAGATAGCACATGAAAATGTGTTGAGTGAGTTATTTAGTATGTTAAGGGACTTAAACAGAGGGACCGTGTTTTGTCTGAAGACAGTGTTAAAATTCTGATAGCAGATTTTTGCTGAGTGATGATAGGCTTGAGGTAATTTGCAGTGGTTGTGTAACGTATAGGAAATAAAAAGGAAGGAAATAAATAATGATAGTAATGAGTGAGGGTTTGAGATGAGGGAGGTAGAAAGGTAGAAGGGAGGTGAGAGGAGTAAAAGGAGTCTGGGAGTAGCGAAGAGTGTGGTCAGGTGGAAGGGAAAGTTTGAAAAGGCAGAGGGAGAGGAGAGAGAGAGTAGAAAGTAGAAAGTAAAAGGTAGAAAGTAGACGTAGAAGGTAGAAAGTAGCTGCTACCATCCATTCTAGTTCAGTACATACAAGACAAGGAATGGAACTTGTCTGTACTCTAGGTTGTTATCAAATGTATCTGCTGTCAGCATGTACTCGTATATTATAATCTTAAAACCAGTAAGCTCAGAGTGCTCCACACTCTAGCTTGCAATATATCAGAAAATCCAAGATCTAGGGAACACAATTAAAGTCAGATTAAAAAGTAAGTTAATCAAATATATATTTAACATGATAAGTATCATAATTCAGGCAATTCAACTTAATGTTCACTATGTCAATATTAATATACAATGTGAGTCATTAAACAAGACATTGAGGACACTACAGCTGACTGCCCCTGAAATCACACAACACCTTCAGTTGGAAACATCAAATTTGTCACTTTACAGTTCACTCACAAAGTTTCTGAGCCTAAGTTGGATAGAGAGAGGGTGGAGGGCGTTGACGGACAGTCCCCCCCTGTCCGGCCGACAGCCTGGTCTCGGCGGCGGTTCAATCGTCCAGTCTCTCTGTCTGCTCTGTTCTCTGCTGATGCTCTACGCTCACGAATGTACAGTTCCCTGGGTATTTATGAGAGACCCTGTAGCTAGCTCCGCCTACTAAGTAGATAGCCTCAAGCCATCTACCTACCCCGCCTGGACAGCGGCTTGTTTGATGAAAAGGCACCACCAACCGTCTGCACTTATCAGCTTAGCAGAAGCAAAGTCAATTCACACGACCTGGCCTCTGGTCAACTTATGGTCACACACTCTAGAGGTGTGATTTTTTAATTGCTAAGGGTCAGACAACCTGGCGCCTCTCAAAATCCTGTCTGGCTGACTCATGTTCTTTGTAAAATATAATATAACCAAATTAAACACCTTTATGGTGTTACAGTTGAACCCCATGCACAGACACTGTATGGTAAATAGGGATAGATTAGTGCGTAGTATAATGAGAGGAGAGCAGGGTAAGGAACATAATATCTGATTTTAGAAAGTATAGCGACCGTTTTTTAGACTTTTTTTTGGCTATTGTTGTATGTGGGTGTTGAAGTTCAGTCCTTGTCTATGTATAGGCTAAGGAACTTCCTCTCATTTGTATTGATAATGTTATTTATTTATTTATATATATATACAAGAAGGTACATTGGGTTTATGAGAGTACATAGCACTGAGGTTTTTACAATCTTGTAAAGCCACTAGTACGCATGGCGTTTCTGCTCTAACAGGCAAAACTGAAAAGGTTGTAGCTGTAAAGGACGTGTAGGAAGGAGCTGGGAACCGCCTGACATCCTATAAGACTCGTCTTGAGACTTATACTCCAGGCGTTCGAGGAGACGGACTGTCTCCGTCCTTGGGGAGACGGAGACAGGAAGAGCGAGGAAGGTGATGGGAAGTCTTGTTTTGAAGACGAGAGGAGCGCCGAGGACCCGTCCGGCGTCACATGGTGATCGTTGAGGACGCCACTTGTGCAGAATAATATTCTGAACAATGTCATCCTGGAGGTTAATAGTAATTATAAAGCATAAATATTCACACTTCAATAAGTTAAAATCACTTAATTTGTCATTAACGAATTGTATCGTAAGTCAATTGAAACCAAATATTTAACATCATCCAGTGTCGTGTTAGGAACTTTGGGTTGTAGCGAGTTAATCTTATACTCGCTCCATTATCTCATTATCTTAATAGCATAACTAATTACAGAAGCTACAATCCTTTCCCCAATTACAGGTAATATTCTTCTCACCTTGTTGGAGGAAGCTGAGGTGTAATCACCATATAAGCAACGATTTGATGACTAGAAGACGACGGGAGACATCTCCCGTCACGTAGGGTGCAGTCGCACCTCCACAGATCTCCAGTATCATTTATTGATACTGGTGATGGCTCAAAAGGGCCACCACTTACGGGCTATTCATGCCCGTGCCACCTTTTGGATGGCTTAATCTTCATCAATCGACTAGAAGACAGTTCAATCTCCACAGTCAACAATGTAGTACTCGGCGTGTACAGTCCTAATCAACCCAAGACGCTACAGCTTCGACACAGAGCAGACAGCAGACTACGACCGCATCGAGCCGCCACGCTCTCCCACATAGAGCTCCACGACTCCGGCCTCACTCAGCTCTCTGCTCTGCTCCAGGCTTCGTCTCAACGTCTACGACACTGCTGTATCCAGGACTACTAAATAAATATGAAATTCACAAAACACTGTGTATCTAATCAACCCAACAACGTAACATAATCGTACGTTACAGGGTTACCTGGTTGATACCTGGTTGATGGGGTTCTGGGAGTTCTTCTACTCCCCAAGCCCGGCCCGAGGCCAGGCTCGACTTGGGAGAGTTTGGTCCACCAGGCTGTTGCTTGGAGCGGCCCGCAGGCCCACATACCCACCACAGCCCGGTTGGTCCGGCACTCCTTGGAGGAATAAATCTAGTTTCCTCTTGAAAATGTCCACGGTTGTTCCGGCAATATTTCTTATGCTTGCTGGGAGGACGTTGAAAAACCGCGGACCTCTGATGTTTATACAGTGTTCTCTGATTGTGCTCTCTGGTTGTTGTGTTTGTTAGTCTGTTATTGCATATATTGTATATTGTAGTTGTCGAGCGGCCATTAACAGTTCTTGACTCACGGACGATTACTACTTAACTGCCTATTCTTGTATAACTGATTGATTGATAAAGATTAAGCCACCCAAGAGGTGGCACGGGCATGAATAGCCCGTAATTGTATAACAAATGTTGCTCTGTTATATCTGTTGTTTGTTGCAACATTTACAATGGAATGTTGTAATTGGTTTGGGAATTAGATTTTTAAATTAACAACTACAAACATTCAAGCTGGGGATCATTATTGGCTCATTAGAGACTCGTTCGGTTTTGGGGAAGTGAAGGAGTGGCTGTTGGCCCATTGATAATTGACAAGTCAGACGCGCAAAATGTTAACCAATGGGGTGAGTTTTAGAGTAAATATCAACCAATCAGCGGCCGGGTTTGGTTATCTGCTGGTTATAAAAGGGACGATGAGACTGTCTGACCATTGCACCTGAACGATAATTAACTACTGGTTCGTAGTGGTACACTTGTCAGCGCCCCGGGGGTCTACACAAGGCAGGTAGTCAAAAGCTACATAAATTAGGTATAATTCAGATGCTGGTCCCAGGACACGTCCCTACAGTAGATTGCTCTAGTTTAGAAAGTTGTTTGGTAATGTACAGTATAACCATGCGCGTTGACTGACGGTTTAAACCGGTTGACGCTAACCGGTTTAAAACTACATTAGTTTGTTGACAATTGACTTGAGAATGGTCCAGGACGGACCGAAACGTCGTCGTCCCTTCACCTTCTAGTGTGTGATCTGGTCAACTTACTTTAGCCACGTTATTGTGACTCATCGCCTGCACTACATTAGTTTCTTTCCAGTTCTATATTACATCTAACAGATTTGGATGTAATATAGAATATTATTTGGATGTAATATAGATGCAAGGGTGCCGCCTGAAGAGCGGCACCCTTGTCCTTCCAACCCCTTCCTGCAGTTAAGATGTCCCTCTAACTCTACCCCAACCTCAACCCCAGCTTCCGGTGGTCCCTCGGCCTAAGTATCTCGGCCTTCAATGACACGGCAAACTCCACCCTCCTTCCTGTGGAATACCTGGTAATATGATAAGTAAAATGTTCCAGTTTGATTTGGTTACTCGCCAAATCCCATAGATCAAACCAGACATATGCCTGGAGTACCAAAGATGCAGGTTAGATTCCTCAACATTGCTCTTATTGCCCTTTTTAGTAAATTCGGATTAATTTTTCAGCTTCAGACACATGAAACGAGGGCTGGTAAGACCTACCATTTCTCATGGTGCGTGAATACTAATGACTACAGCTGGGATACAGCACTCTTACTGCTAGTCTTGGACATTTTCAAGAGGAAACTAGATTTATTCCTCCAAGGAGTGCCGGACCAACCGGGCTGTGGTGGATATGTGGGCCTGCGGGCCGCTCCAAGCAACAGCCTGGTGGACCAAACTCTCACAAGTCGAGCCTGGCCTCGGGCCGGGCTTGGGGAGTAGAAGAACTCCCAGAACCCCATCAACCAGGTATCAACC